AAGGATATAAAATAAAATATAATAAAAGTAAGGCGCTGATAACGTTATAAACAAAAAAAATTAAAAAAAGAGAAAATTGAAAAAAAGGATAAAACGAGGCCCAAAAGTTATTGTGCTTTAGACTCCGTCAAGCGCCCACAAAAATATGTTAACCTTATTTCGTTTCAACGAACATGCAATTAATTTTTACTTCTCCTCTTGCAGGTGTATACATTATCACTCATGGAAGAATGAATAGTAGATAAATATTATAAAACACTAAGCAATAAGCTCCAATGTATTCCGGTGATCAGTTTATAGACCTCAAAACATGCCTTACTGTTCGAATCGCAAGTGTGCATGTTTAATTATAAAATTGTATAAGACTGTCTAATGCTCAACTCCCTTAAACCGGTAGTTTGTTTAGTTAAAATGGCTCGTGGAAAGCACTTAGGTATTGCAAAATAAAAATTGTAACTCTACACTGGGAAATCTTTTCAGTGGTGCAAATCGCCGAGGGTGTGAAAAAATATACCGTCCATTTAACAATTTATAGGTTTCAAGAAAGCGGAAATTCTTAAAAACTTCACGAGCCCAGGTTCATCTCGAATCACCTTAGCGGCCGAGAACCAAAGAATTAAACTGATAAGCCTAATAATAGGCTTCCTACAACCTCTGAAATTACCGCTTATCTTAATCGGGAACGTCAATGCGAAGTTTTCGTCAGGATCGTGAAAAGGCTCTTACATGAATCTATTTACACGGTCTGTGTGCTGTAGGAAAAACCACAACATCGGCGAGGGAACAAAACATTCCGAATACATAAAACTTGGACACTGAAGGATTGGAAAGCGCCTTGTGGACCCAAATGCAAACAGTTTTTTTTTTTAGCCGAAAACACAATTTTTGCCAAATAAAGAATGACGAAAAAATGTTTTCGGCGTGTATAGTTCTAACAATAAAGCACGGTGTTGGTTCCGTGTTAGTATGGGGTTGTTTCTCTCTTCCGGCGCATGGATTTGATCAAAATTACCGGGATCACGCGCAAAGAAAATTACCCCAATCTTAAAAATCAATACGGGTGCAATCGGGAGTGCTACTAATCGGTAGAAATTTTACCTTTATGCAAAACGATGATCCTTATTACGTCGCTCGTGTGTGAAAAAAGTCCTGGTCGACAAAAAAAGAAGAAGGCACCCTGCAAATCATGGCACCCTACTCTTCCCCTCTCCCAAAGTCAGGGCATGGATCTAATCGCAAAATTTAAGGATTCTGCCATGAACGATAGTAAAAATAAAACGAGGTTTATCTCGAATGGAACGGATTTTGTTAAATTCTTCATAATAAAGCACTATCTTTACGTGTTTTAAGTTTTGTTGTTCTCGATTATTCTTCTGCGATCTTTTTAATTCTGTTTCTACGACCTTAGCATCTTTAGTGTCCTCGTTAATTTTCCTTATTACTACGATCTAGAGAAGAAAAAGGGCAAGATCAACATCCTTCATCCCGTTGCTTATCTTTACCCGCTAGATTATTAGTTTCGGAAAAGCACGTAGTCATAGTTACTACATACCTTTGCTGTTAGCTTTTTAACGTTTCACTTTAAATTCCCCTTACCCCTACTTCTTCGTTGGTGGTCATAATCTATAACACCCCTCTGATTTACCTTCACTAACCCATAACTTTAGACGTCCTTGGGCAATTGTAAGGAAAATTTAAAAATAAATGTAATCAAGGGTAACGCAAGAGAAGCAAAAATTTTATAAACAAAACGCGTAGGTAGTTGTGTGGCCTAAAAAAGATGTTACCAACCAACTCTTTAAATTATTTGCAAAACGCTTTTTAATGGATACGCGCACACATCGACCCAAGTAACCACTGTAGAAGTTGTGACCAAATATGTCTATTGCAAGCTTAGTGAAAGTAAATGAAATTAATTGTAGTTACCACAAGGTCATTTGTGAATTTACTGTTCTATTGATAGTTTTAAACTTTTAAACTCAAACAATTATAACCGTAATGAGTTACTACAAGGATGAGAAAGACCCTTTATGACCTTCATATTTGCTTCTTTTTATTTTTTTTATTTAATTATCTCTGTAGCTAAAACTTTTACATGTTTATATTTTAGCTCTTCTTACTATAAAGAACGGTTGACCTGGGAGTAAGAGCTTAAACTTCAGCTGTCGATAGTTGCAAAAAGGAAATGTGTCAATCCTACTATTATTCTCAGTGTAAGTTGTGGAAAGTAGTGCTATAGAAAAGTTTGTCATAAAATTATATTTTGCTAATGTAAGTAAGCTTTCATCCTGTAGACGGTTAATCAGTGGAAGACAGTGGCGAGAAAATGGATGTATGAGGCTTTAATATCCCCTTACTATCGATTCCAAAGTGATTTATTTTCCCTCGGGAAAAGGGGGCTCCAAAGTTTATCGATTGTTCGCAACACCCTCCAAGTAAATTTTAGTAAAAACCTTGTGTCAGTATGGAGGTTGGAATAAAAAAGATCAGTTTATTTATTTTTTTTTTAAATTTTAATTACGAAATATGATGAAAAAATTACGAGATAAGCTCTTATGCTCTATTTTTTTGCTGTCTTTAAACGCATTTTTTCCTCCAAAAACTAACCATATTGTAAGCACCAAGTTTTAATAAAGTTGCTTAAAACCGACAGACTAATCTCTTACTATGCTAAACAAAATATAACCATCCGAGATCAACTAGTTACATTTAAAAATTCCTGTAATCTGATAGTCCCACTTATATGCGGTCTACCTATTACCCTCGAAGTTACGAGAATTTCAAGGGTTATTAGGCTCTTCGCAAACCAAGAGACCACCATTTATTGGGTTTTTTGTCTTCACTGCTGCAGCTTACTTTGATATATTAATAGGATGGTCTACTTTTCCGTATTAGGGCTTTAAGAAATTTTTAAGGCATTTATCGCAGACGAGTAGTAGTTATGATCTTATTTGCGTGGGAGGAGGATCCGGAGGCCTGGCAGCCGCTCGCCGTGCTGCTCAACTTAACGCTAAAGTGGCCGTCATTGAAAGCGGTCGTCTCGGAGGGACTTGCGTATATTTAAAATCTTGTTTTTAATAAGAAATGTACTTGTCACGACAAGACATGTTCTTTAATAGGTCAACGTGGGATGCGTTCCAAAGAAAATTATGTGGTCTGCTGCGAATCATGGGGAATCAATACGAGACCAAACTGACTATGGATTTAGTCGCTCCGGCTCTACAACGTTTGAATGGAAGTTGTTATATATCAGTTTAAGTTTTTGAGAAAACCTCTTTTATTATATTGAATAAGCGCAGTCAACTAAAGAAAAAGCGTGATTCATTCATTGCCCCGACTTAATTCAATTCACGAAGACCACTTAAATAAGAGCGGCGTGCGTCTTATTCGGGGCCGAGCAAAGTTTTCGAATAAAAACACACTTGTAGTTGATGATGTCCAATACACAGCTGATAACATCATCATTGCAACGGGTTCTTGTTTTATTTTCTATAAAAGTTTGTCAAATCTAAGTTGCAATAAGGAACTCGACCCATTATCCCCAAGAACATTGAAGGGAGTCAACTTGGGCACACTTCCGACGCCTTTTTTGAGTTCACTTCTCTCCCTCGTAAAACGCTAGTTGTAGGAGCGGGGTGCCTTTTTTTCTGTACAGGGTAGGCTCGGGTGTGATGAATTTTTTCTTTAAAGTTATGTGGGGGTCGAGATCGCAGGGATTTTACAATCTCTTGGTTCTACTGTTACCCTTCTTATACGGCACGATCAAGTGCTGCGAATATTCGACGAAATTATTAGGAGTGAGTTATTGACTTCTTTGGAGCATATGGGCTTAAATGTTGGTGAGGAGTTTATAAATACTTCCCCCATAGATAATCTTGCGGTTTTTTATTTTATAGTAAAGAAATCTAACGTTATCAAAGTGTTCAAGCAATCTAATGGCAACTTGTGCGTTGAAGTAATGCTTATTCTTTTCGTATTACAAAGTTTTTCTAATTAGCTTCTATGCAGTTTGATCGAGACGGCTCTATTTGTGTTGAAAAAGACGTGTCCAAACTGATTTGGGCAATCGGAAGAAAACCTTTTAACGATATAGGCTTTGATAAAATCGGGCTTGCGATGGACGAGAGGGGGTTCGTCAAGGTCGCTTGCTTCTCGGCAGCGTTAATTACCAGCAAAAACAGTGTTGCGTAAAACTTTAGGTTGATGAATGGCAGAACACCAACGTCTCTGGCATCTACGCTATTGGAGACGTCACAGGAAAAGTTCCTTTGACGCCTGTCGCGATTGCAGCGGGCAGGCGTTTAGTAGACAGGTCTCTTCTCCTTCTCAGAAATTTCGCGAGGTCAGCGATTAACTTCCTTCAGACTCTTCGCTAACAAGCCCGATAGCAAACTTGACTACAATAATATTCCGACTGTCGTCTTTACGCATCCACCCATCGGCACTGTCGGGCTTACAGAAGGTACTGTTGTTGTACTGCACCATCAGCGGATATTTACAGTCTTTCTTTTGAGAGCAAGCCATCCGTAAGTACGGAAAGCCCAATATCAAATGCTATGTCTCTCGCTTTGTAAATCTCTACCACTCGGTCACCTCAAGGAAGCCCACCACAGCAATGAAGCTTGTCTGCCTCGGTAACCGCCTCTGCTGTTTTGAGATTATACTCCGCGTGGTTTAGCTTTACCGTTTAGGGGAAGGTGAGACGGTGGTTGGATTACATGTGATAGGAGCCGGAGCGGACGAGATGCTGCAGGGTTCGTTGTCTGCAACGCTTTCGCTTCACCCCCTTAAAGCCCTGTTTTTATTATTTGCAGGATTCAGCGTAGCTGTGCGAATGGGCATGCGGAAGCGAGACTTGGACGAGACCGTGGCTATCCATCCCACAGCGAGTGAAGAGCTTGTGACCATGACTTAGTCGAGCCCCCAATAATAAGCCAACCATTACGCTTATAATGAAGATATTAAAGAGTAAAGGACGCCTATGTTTATTCAGTTGTTTTTCAAAACAGGCACTTCTTTAACGAAGTTTATGAGCCAGTAGCACTTACAATAAGCAGCGGGCAAAATATAGACAATGCACAAGCTACCGGCTAGTAGCCCGTTCTAACCTAGCTGGCCCGTGTTATGCCGTATTTTTAAATCTTCCAATAAATTCTTTGCTATTTTTATGCTATCAAGTCCGTTTATGTCCTCTCCAAGAGCCAACTTTTGAAACCTGCCATAGTTGCGATAACTAAAGGCTCCCTTTAGAGCTTAATGCAATAAGAAAACCAACTCGATGAACTCCGTTAACTTATCAATGAGATCATCGACTCCGCACAATTCGTATTTCTTCAGCATCAGTATAAGCACAGCTTGAAGTTTGCTGCTGCCGTTGACTATCCACGCCAGTAAGAAGGCACAATGAGCAGCCACCACATTGTTATTGGTTATTCTACTCTGAGCGGTTAGCCTGGTCGACTCTCCTTCGGCGGTTATATCGAAGCTCTTCTGAATAACACTATTTGCAGAATTCATCAAACAAAACACACTCAGCAGGATGCAGAGAACGTCCGTCGGCCTCGTGGGCATTTCTCTAAGAAAAGAGTGTGGAGAGCCACTAGCAGCGGAAGGTTGCTCTTTCAGCTTTTGAAGGAGAAGATTAGTGTGGAACCTGAAAATGTGCTTACTGGTTTGAACATAAGTTTAGAAAACTACACCCAAATACCAATCAAGTTTAGTAAATGCGAGTCTCACGCGGGCTTCGGGATTCTTCTCGACGAGGTTAAGCAGTAGACTGACTCCAATAATGAGCAAGTCATGTTCGTAGACACTATGTGCTGACTGTAAATCCACGAAAGTGCCGCTTGCTATTTCATGATTTTTGTTAATAATAGTTGCCGGCGGCGTTTCATACAAGGTAACAGCAGGAAAGTCTTCTATCTGCAGACGCGATGATGATTTTTAGAGAAGCCGCTTTGGAAAGGAGGGATGAACCGAATAGTTAAACCAAATGGGCTTTAAACGGGAGAACAAAAGCGCAGCTGGCAATGATGCGCAAGTGGTCTGCAATGCGGTAGACGGACACTCGGGCCCGCGCCGTATTGGTAAAATTCAGCAGGACTCTTAAAACAGACTCAACGCACGTGGCAGTCTCGTGATCATTACAGTGTTTCGGTTTCCTATTTACAAAATATGAAAGCATTCTATGAGAAGTAGAGAATAAAAAGATACAGGCTAGCGCAGTCAAGCAGCAAGAAAAAATGCTCAAACAAAGATTCTCCGCAGTGAGCGTGAAGTTCTTGCAGAATATCGACTATTTAAAGAGAAAGCGAAGTACATTATAAAAAAAAATAAAAAAGTTTTCTAACGAACTGCTGGCAAATGTCAGACTCTCCAAAATTTGGCAAATCATAGTAACTTGGCGAAGAAAATCTTGGTGAAACACCTCGGATCCCCTGGAAATTTTGTTTAAACTAACACTACACGAGCCGCTTAAAGCCATCAAACTCAATGAATCCGCTGATTAATTTATTTATACGCGAGACAAAAGTTTTTATAACGGGCTCCTCCGAGAGCTTTTCTCGTATCACTGACCCACGCGGGAGTTAGTTAACTAAGTAAAGTGTTAGGAGGCCACGAGCACCTTCTTTGCTTCTAGCTAAAGACTGTAGACAGTAAAGGGCCATCAACATGGGACATGGACGATCCTCGACTATGAGATGCCCAAGTCGTAGGCCCTGCAATTCTTATTTTAAAAGAAAGGCAAAGGAATTGTAAGAGAATCAATAATAATAAATACAAACTACAAACTTTTAATGATGGAGTTGTATATTGAACGACTACTTTTGTCAACTGTAGTATTGATCTTCACATCTATAAACTTAAAGTAAAATATTTTAAAAAAAAATTTAATAGCAATACCATCCAAAAATAAGCAGCGGAGCAAAAATTGCACTCCGGCGTTGCTAAGGGGCTCATGAGTGCCACTGCGTGCGAGGACCAACGCCATAAATACAGCGCTTGTGAGAAGATCTTGGTGTTCCTGGTAAAAATTCTACTCTAATAGAAGTAAAAGCGATAATAAAGGACATTACGAAAGCTCCATTAGAAAGTTCCAGAAAAAATTGATGAAGGTCTAGAGTTATACCTTAAAAATAGAGAAGGAAATATCTTACATTTTAGAATAAACGTTGAGCACAATACTTTTTTCAAAGAGCTTGTGAGAAAAGCCTTGGTCAAAGAAAAGCAGGGCTAAGCTCACAACTAGAAATAAAGTACTAGTAAGTATACGCAAGTTGCAAAACCTTAAAAAAAGCGTGCAAGCCTGATGTGCACCGCAAACTATTAGTCTTCCCACGAAGAATCTCTTCCAAGTAATACTCAATCTATTGAGTTAGATTAATATCTTTAACAACTTTTTACAAGCTTTTAGTAAATAAAGTTAAAAAAAAAACTTTATTAGCAAAAGCTTTTTGGTCTCCACAATCTAAATCTGAGTAAGGTTTATTCGGCCTCTCTCTCTTATTAAAATTTCCTTCCTAATACTTTATTATAAGTTCTGGATTTAACGTAATAAAAGTTTTTCCTAACTGCTGAAAACGTTATTATAATTGGCGTAAGAAAACAATCTGTTATTTATATATAAGAAGCTACAAGTTGCAAAATACTTACTTCATTATATTGAGAAGTGAAGTAGTCGCATTCCTCTTAAATTGTTATTTAAATAACATAAACTATATAAAGAAGTTTAAAGTTTTTTTCATTACCATTATGTAAGTTCCTATGCGAGGATACCGATGAAGGGTCCACCGAAGATTGAAAAGGAAGCACCGCAACATTTTGGACAAGTTGGTTATTTTTGTCTCCAGTAAGCCTTCTCTTCCCATTCAAAGAATTAAATCCGCCTTTTAATTTGATAGGTTTTCTCCTATACATACTTAGGAAGAATGACAAAAGTATTGGTTTTTTTTTTAGTCTAAAAGCCGGTACAACACTAAACGAACACCCTTTTTCCACACCATCCACCACTTCATGTCAAGGAGTAGCAGCATCTCTATCATAATATTAAACCCTCATAATTATAAAGCTCAGGTGGTAGAAAGGATTAAGTTTAGGAATCTTTTGTGGCAATTAGACAACCCCAAGTCTTGTTGGTAAGCATTTTTTTTTTTTTACTAAATTATTTATTTGAAATGTTAAAAGTCTGTATATAATTATTACCGGAAACCCACTTCGAAATTTTGTTACTGTTCCTGAGCCAGTCGTTTTTAGTATACTTTAAGGGTTTTGCCTTGAACAAAGATAATGAAACTAAGGATTCTTGAGGGGCTTGCTGATGAGTTATTTGACAAACATACATCGGAGTGGTCGAAGTTATACAGAGAGCTTCTGAAATCTTATAAAGCGAAAGACAAACATTTGGAGCTGGCAACAGTACAAAGACTTTTTTTAACAACACACAAATGAAGACGAAGCAGACTATTTCAACTGCTTTACCCAAATTTGTAGCGTCGATATACAGCAGATTAAACTCTGCTTGTAGGGATTTTTATTATAACACGGTTAAGATCCTACTCGATGGAAAGAGTTAATACTGAAGTTCTTCTAAAGAACTTGAGGCAAATTCTTAACCTTGGTAGTGAATTTAAGCGTATCCATGATAATGCTAATGTTTTACCAGGCAAGGTTAAGGAAGAACTTAAGACAATGTTGAGCAACAAACAAACTTAATTAAAAACTCATATCTAAAATATCAAGTTGCACCACTTACAACTTGACCTCGTAAAAGAGTGGAATTATACTTAGTTTTAAAACGAGGTTAAGAGATAACAGATGTTTAGAGATTCCTCATGATGTTGCGCATTTGATTTTAGCTGCTATTCCTTATATAGATTTGAATATCGTGTGGCCTGCGCACCCTACATCATTTTTATAAATTTACTTCTTAGTTGAACTTAACAGACTTTTATAAAAACTTATTACAATTTTTATACTTGTTTATATTTTAATTTTTAGTGGTATTTTTATTTTATATTAATAATGGGTCCCTTCTTTGAATAAGAGCATTCAATGCTAACTTGTTAGTTATTAATGATCGGCCACGGACTTCTGAAAATTATTAGAAGAAAGCGAGGTTTTAAAGGTTGCAATAAAAAATGCTAGTGATAATAGTAATAATACTAGTAGAGGCGAATATGAGCACAGTAATGAAATTTATATTCATATTGAAATGGTAGTGGTATTATTAGTATAGAATACTCAAAAAAAAAGATTTTTGATAATAAAGATAAAACTTAAGTTTATTAAAGATTCAAAGATGCTCTGGAAATGTCAATAAAGACACCGTGGTCAGATTAATGGGCAGTACTTCTTTTCCCACCTCTGGTAAACCGAAAAACCTTATTCTGCGGCAGCATTCCTGCAAACTTAAAAAGGGAAAATTCCACTCGTTACTCTTGAAGGAAAACAAAAATGTCTCTTTTGTACAAATTCTGCGAGATTAAGATACGCGTCTAGGGATTAAATTATCTCTGACACCTAATGATGGCACCATTCAACACTCATGATAATGATGAATTGCAACACTTTATCATTTACCTGAGTCCAAGCCATTTAAGTTAGTTCTCCATGGCGTAATTGTGAACTTGACGCCCCCATCGATAAGGGTCTGCGCGGCCAAGGGATTATACCCCTCTGAATGGTACGAGTGTACCTGGAGAACACAGATAACTGTGAACGCAGAAAGCGTCCGTTACCATTGGTGTTAGTGCATATGACCAGAGCTGAACAGCAAAAGCTATTGGAATTAAATACTCTCTACCACCTTTACCTAAAGTTGGAGAACTTCGAAAAAAGTAACTGCGTCCGATAATGTTCGGCTCCCAAGTCTTCGGGCACAGTGAATTCCGCTTTGCGGTCCCAGATGCGTTAAATGTGGGGAAGGCCACTTAATTGCGCAGTTTACAAAGCACCAAAAAGACTTGCCAATTATGCAAATTGCTGTGAAGTAGACACTACCAACTATTGTGGCTTCAAACATCATCCGCGAAGACCTACAACAGCCTATCAAACTGCTCTACAAAAAGATCTAAGGCCAACTTTTAATGTAACCCCGACGATCTCGTATGCTGCTTGCTGGCCTCAAGGAAACTCTTCAATTAAACCGCAAGTAGCAATTGCTAACTAAATTTTCAACAAACCTATTAGCGATGCGAGACAGTTATAGCTTGGAATCCGTTTGCAGTGGCTTTTGGACCACGAGCACTTCGTCATATGTGTCTTTTGTTTTAAACCACAGATAGTGTTCTACGCAAGAATCTTGAGTTGCAAGAGTTTTTGCAGGGCGAAATACTCGACCTGTATTATTAGTGAGACTCATCTTTTTTTCACCGTGTCATTTTAGTTCTGCAACTCCTCTACGTATCTCTAGGAATCGTTTGATAGAGGTGGTAAATGCGCAGCTATTCTGGTCAGACGAAATTTCAACTCAGGGTGGTATCTATGCCAGCCCTGCAAAGCAATGAGGCAGTTGGGGTTTCCATTGCTTGGTCTCAGGGGTTCAGGTGGGTAATTGCAGCCTATTACTCTCCAGTAAGCTGCTAATAACCTCAAATTCTGATGCCCTCTTTAAAAATTGTTCCCCAGCGGTTAATGTTAAGTTCTTTACTGCAGCGTCCCGCTTGAAATAGCCGTGTCGACTACCTGGAAGGTCGAATACTTGAAACTTAGACTGAGGAGCGCGAACTGCGTGGCTTAGGACCACATTACCGACCCACGTGGCAAAGATGGGGTCATCAGATTAACTAGACATCGCCGTTTATAAAAATACTCATATTTTAAAGGCAATTGAAGCTCTTTACGAATTCTCTTCGGGATATCAACTAATTCTGCTTTAGCTGATGACGGTAGGGAACTACTAAGGCCTAATACCAGGAACTCTTACAAATTGGGTTATATTCGCCGAGGCTCTTGACACCCTTTTTAACACCTTCAGCGTTACCGAGGACGTCCAGCCTATTTTATGTGGCTGTCGTTGAATTCAAGGGAACTGCGACCATGGTGGCGTACCACACCGCCACGACGGCGTAGTTGAGTACCCCCCCCCCACTGTCTTCCTGATGAGCTGAAGGCCCTTATATGTGAGCGTCGACGCCTTATACAAGCGCCTTAGGCGTCACAAACCCCGAGGATAAATTAGCGCTTAATAGACTACACTGGTGCATTAAGAAAAAGCTGTTAATGGACCATAATCGTTTGTAGGAGAGAAAGTTAAGTAATGTTTCGGAAGCTAGCGATGGCGGTCGCGTCTCTTATCCGGTAGTTTATAGAATATACGGAAATCAAGTGCGTTATCCACTACCTACCATGCGAGATGGCAGCTTTATGGCGGAAAATCACGCAGACAAAACTACACTTTTTGCTATTAACCTCGTTAATTGGTGTAAGCCATCTGCTTAATGAGTTGCAGATAAAGTGCTTTTTGAGACGAATATTTTCGCTGATGGTAAAGAGCAGCTTGAGCCAATCACCATAATTGAAATTAAGCTCTACCGAGAAGAAGGTACCCGACCCGACGTTACCAATAACGCAATGTTAAAGCAAATACCAGCGGTGGCCTTTAAAACCCTCCAGTTGCGCCGGAAGACGGCACCTGTTGTTATGCCCCCGAAGACACCTTGACCAACTCTATACAAGCAATTACAGGTCTATTAGCACCGTCATCCGTTGCCAAAGTAGCTAAAGCAGTCATACTGTGATGCTTAGAAGCGTTTGTCGACGCAATCCCTGTTTGCCAGAGTTCCAATACGGATTTCGACATGGGCATTCCACGAGGCAACAGCCCTTTTCTGACAGTATGAACCCAAGAAAGAAACAGGCCTCGTTTCTTCTGAAATCGAAAAAGCTTTTGATCAAGTTTGGCACAAGGGCTTACTTTATAAATTATGCGACTTAGTCTTCTCCTCTACTCCTCTTTTTAACATGCGCAAACCCTACATTGAGGATCACATTTATAATACTTATGCCGGCGAAGCGCGCTCATCCCTAAACTACTAACAGCTGTTGTCCCACAAAGAGCTCTTCCATCACCTCTACTCTTTACAGTTTTACTTGCGCGATGAGCCACAGTCTGTCAATCCCCCCGCACACCACTTGTATTACATGCGGACGATGTAGCGATTTACTCCGTAAAAATCGACGGTCTTTTTGCGCCAGCATCTGCAGTATTATCTGGTGACGCCCGCCAGCTGTGAGTGTGTTTAAATATTACCAAGCGGAAAAGCAAAACCCTTTTAGTCACGAGGAAGCGCACTAGAACCGCTGGTTTTTTAAGGCGAGGAAATCCCGAGCCCCCCTAGGGAAAATACGCGTGTCATCGATAAAAAGCTACGTGGTCACCGGGAAGGTCAATGTGCTACGCATTATGACGGGCGCTCCGCGGTTAGTTCAAAAGGACGCTTTACATCAAGATCCATGGATGAGACCACGGCTACTTTTTTCACCGCAATGCTAGTAACATTTATGAACTGATTAATGAACACACCAATTGACAACTGGCAGATGAGCTCAATTATGTTATTGCCGAGTGCGCAGTGGGCTGGAATTTAAAGGATGCTTATATTTGAGATTACATTAACATTACGCTATCAAACTCCTGGTGGAGCACTAGAGTATTCGAACATTTACGCTATCAAACTCCTGGTAGAGCACTGAGTATTCGAACATTTAGACTCTGTCGAGCACCAGGAAAAGCAATATATAAATAAATAAAACCTCTTATTAGCTCCTAAATTAGATGTTTACCTTGACCCAATCTGGCATCATTAAGTGCAATCATAAATATTTAAAATTTTCAGTCCGACAGGGGTGTGCTATACGATACACTTATAAATGTTTTTTTGCATTTTTTTGTTAGTTTAAACTATTAAATTATTAGAAACGACTAAATTTTTCTCGCTTTATATAGGCAAAACATATTACAAAGAGAATTTAACTTTGATCCTTCTTTTTTAACCAGATAGAATATAAATAATGACTTGGTCTTAGCTATTCCCTTACTCTAAAGTACTTGTCGTTAGCATTTTTCTTTTATTATTTTGTCATGCGAGCAACTAATCTAAACTTTTAATAGCTCTTTAGCAACTCACGAAAATAATTTTTTTTTTAATATATTCATTAAAGATATTTTTTGAATAATGCTCGGAATAATATTTTTTAAAATAAAAGAGCCTTTGACTTTTTTTAAGCAGCTTCCGCGATCTGCCTTTCTCGTGTGTAACAAAGTAAATCATAGCCGAGAAGCGGTATTTGCCTGCAAGTCTTTTGTTATATAGTACTGTAAATGACTTATGAACTATATTTTTAGTAACTTATTTTTATATATTAAAATCAGTAGATAAATTCTTAAGCCTTACAAACTTTAAAGATTGAATAACCGAGAATTATAATAATTAAACTCTATACTTAATCCATTACGCGCACACAAAATTAATGGTTGCATAACTGTTCTACTGTGTAATAGTAAGCGTCCCCTGTTTTTTTTTTTAATAAATATTTATCAAACAAATCTTAAGCTAACAGTAAAGAAATTCTCTTACAGTTCAGTTGCATTTATTACAATTTTCTAAACACTCCACCGACAACAAATAACAAACTTAACAGTTTTGCTTTATTATTAAGTTGACAAAAAAAATATTGATTGTATTATTATATAAAAGGTCACTTACAAAAATGTTCAATATTAAGATTGAATTTTAGTAAGCTTGCAAATAAGGCAAATTGAGAAAAAAATTTATTATTCAATTTATTATTCTAGATTGAGCGAAAGTTCGTCTTAATACAGGCCACTAATACGAATAAAAGTAATAAATTTGGCCACCCCGGTTTTTTCCTAATTACAATAAAGTAGGAAGTACAGGTGTTCTTCTTTAAAACGTGCGCCTTTTCACTCTAGAAGTTAACTGACCACTGGCAGTTGCAAGAAGTAAGACAAAAAAAGCTGCTATTTTATAAATAGATATAGGATGTAAAGCAACTTTTTTTTTTAGACACTAGCATATTACGGTCGCTTGCTCTAAATTCACCTCTTCTGCAGGGGTTGGGTCATGAGCGCCCGCCAGTGTCCGCTTTTTAGAAAGCTAAATGACTGTCCCGAAGGACTGAAAACGCGGAAAGTATCGGGCCCGGAATCTCGCCATTCAGCCTAGGGTGGTGGAAAACCGCTAAACCCATCACCTTGAGAGACAGGCCCTAGGGCACAAGCACAAGACCCAAGAGGCCGCCTGGAGACATTAGCCAGTACAACCGCCAGCCAGACCTCCCCAATGATGAGCCCCTCACCCAGAAGGGAGGGGGCCCCTCCAGAACTCTAAAAGAAACTTTAGCTTATATAATCGGCCTGACGTTTTATATTAACACTAAAAAGTTGTATTAAACGAGGTTAGATAATATCTGTTAATCCTCTTAAATTATCTAATAAAGTACCAAACTCCGATAAACATTCATGTTTTTTTTAGACTATTTATTAGAAGTCCACTATATAGAAACAGAGTTACTGGGTGCCACTTAGTCAAGAAAAGGCTTTTTATAACTCTCGGGAGCGTAGTTATGTTATCTATGGTTTGCGTGGCGTTGCTTTTTGTTAGTTTAAATTTGCGTGTAAACAACTTCACTCGCCCCAAGCTGTTCTTAGGTGCGGGTGTAAAGCAATCAATAAGCCTATTTTCCTTTCTCTTATTTAACATCCTAGTTGTAGGTTCTACAGTTAAACTCTGACTACGCGCAGGGGGAGCTAGGAGGAGCACGATGCAAATTTTGTGAAATGCTTCCGCTAAGAGGATGTGCTCCTCACTTTGCGAGTACCATGAATATTGTAAAGGTTAGGCTGTAAGGGTCTACCGGCAATTTTTTAAAAAAAACACTATACATTAAAAGTTGCGAAGTCTGACCAGCACTTTATTAAAGAGCACTTTCAAGCTACAAAAGAACATTTTTTTCAATTTTTGACTTTAGTTAGAAAGCCAGAAAACTATAGCTTCTTCATTAAGTAGGCACCCTACTATCCCAATTAGACTACCCATATTACCCCTTTATAAGCTTCCGAAAACGTTTAGCATCTTTCTGGCGTAAGCTTAAGTTCAGCTTTCTTCTTCTTTGGCAATTCGACACTTTTCAATTCAAGTTTCTAACCAACAAAGTCTAGTTCATAGTCTCTAACCCTCTGCGCCTCGTTTATACAAAGGTTAAATCAGAGTTGCCAATCTCAATACGTTTTCTCTTGTGTCCTGTTATTGAGAATAAATATCAGAAAGAAATTTAGCCTCTTCGGTGCTCCTCTAGCACAGGTTTCATAAACATTAGGCCTGTAATAAATAATTTTAGGAAGAACCATGACTATTCTGCAAGTAACGTCGAACCGTTATTACCTGCGGGGACTAAGGTGCTCACGTCACTTTTCATACAAAACCTATCTATATCAGTTCTACGCAGTAAAATGAGCTGCTATTCTATAAAATTAAAAGAGGCTAAATATTTCAGCCTTTTAATACCTTTTACCTTCCGACTGGAAAAAACAGATTTCCTTTTGCTCTTAATGCGTTCAAGTTTATTTTCCCCCTACAGTTAGTGAAAAAAAATAATTGAATTGTGCCAAACCATCGGCAGGTGCTGTGACAAATCTCGTGGCGGTAGTATAATGGTTCAATGGCTAGAGCCGTTAACTGTTAGGTGACAGGGCACAAAAGGCAGCTATTTTCTTGCCTTTTAACAGTAGCTTACAAATAATTTAATTATTGTTAATAGGAAATACTTTAGTATAAAGTTTTCTTTACATGTATTACTGCTTTAATGAAAAATTCTTTTGCCCCTTCTCTTCGCTTTCCCCTTTAAACGAGCCACTAGAGGCGGGTCTGAACTACTAACCCCCTCGGCCTTCACAGTTGTGGCCTTAGCCCGCATCTTTTGGGTTATTTTTTTTTTTAAACTTGTAATCAATTACTATTTTACCAATTTTAAGGGAATTTATTTTTTAATTATTTAAAGAATACATCATACATATATATATGACACCTTTGAGGCATCAAACTTTCTTTAATATTAAAAATATTTGCTTTCAAAATGGGTCTTTCTGAACAAACAAGCGAATTGCAAAAAAATTATAATTCATCCCACGTTAAGAAACAGTTGACGGTTATAAGTGATACCTTTAAAGGTACTTTAGCTTCTAGTAATGATAGATCTCTTGAAAACGAAAATTCAAGTGAATCAAAAGAAGTTAAGTTAGCACCCATCGATTCTGTTGAAGGGTTACTTTTTCTTTTTTTGTTATAAGATCTTTAACTGACTTTTTTATTAATTTTATTATTAGAAAAATGTTTATTGGTGGTCTTGCTCCTTATACTAATGAAGGTTTCCTCTATATTGCTATTCTTTTGTTCTTTATTTAACTTTTTAATTCCATGTACAAATTTTATTTTAATATTCAGCCATTTTGAAGCATGCTTTCGAAAAGTTTGGAGAAGTCAATGAATGTATGGTGTTACGGGAACCGATTACTAGGAAGCCTCGGTGTCATTCCTACATTTTTATTAGTTTTATAAAAAAATTTGGATTGAGCCTTGTCTCATATACAGTTTACTTATATAATAATTTTTATTATCTTTGAAAGGGGCTTTGGATTTATAACTTTTAAGAATCCCGAAAGTATAGAAAAGGTTATGCGTGCAAGTCGTATTATGGTAGATGGCAGAGCGGTAAGTTAATTTTATTTTGTATGAGAAAAACTAATTTATTTATTTTTGTTTAATTTTTGTTCTAGTTTTGTTTTAATAAGTAAAGCCTAAATCGGATGATCTACTGATTTTTTAATATAAAATTATATTTCTTTACTGATTAGTATATAAATTTAATTTTTATAATAAAATTTAGCTCTTTTACTTTTGAATTTACATAGTTGCTAACTTTTGCCTATAAATATTATTAATTTGTAAAATCTATATTTTATATGTAATTTATTATATATTTTAAGAATTTTTTTTTGAAAATCTCTCAGTGGAATAAACTTTTGTTATAGGTGGATGCAAAACCGGCTGTTCCTAGACAAGAAGTGAACGCTGTCAATGCGCAGAAGCACAAGGTTTAGAAGTTTATTAATAAATTATTTATATATTGTTTTTTTTATCTTTATTATTATAAATTTTTAGTTTATACCTATTAATATCTTGAATTTCATAATTTATATTTAATTTATTTGTTGAAAAAATTTATATTTAATTTTAAATTTTTTTTATAAATTTTAGTTTTTTTGTTACCTTTATATAACATAACTTAATTTTTTTTTAGTTTTTATTATTTTAAATCGGTTTAGTTATAAGTTTACTCGAAATTTATAATCATTCCAAGTTGATTACAATCTCTTTTTCTCTTTACTACACTATTTGTATTTAGATTTTTGTCTTGACTTCAAATTATTTATTTGTTATGAAAAAAATTTAGTCCTACGTTGACAATTAATTCTTTATAAAATTTTTTAATAATAAATTTAATTTAGTTTCCTTTCTTTTATGTATAGATCCATCTCAATTTCGATTTCAATTATTATTTTTTATAGAGAACTAAAAAAATTTTTGTTGGCGGCCTTGCAGCGACCACTACAGAACTCCAGTTAAAAGATCATTTTTCTAAATTTGGAGATGTTCAGGAAGTGATGATCATGTATTTAAAATTTGCGTAGCAAATAGTCTAGTAATAAAGCCAGCGCATAGATTCATTGCAGTCTGTAGATTTATTTTTAGTAATAATTATTCGAGCGTTAAATATAAGAAAGTAAAAAATACGAATTTCGAGTAAAAGGATTGCTAAATTCATTGAGAAGTAAATTTGCGTATATATAAATATAAATTATATATAATTTGAAAGTATGGAACATTTTAAATTGAGTCATAAAATTTATTTTTATTTGAGTTTTCTGATTATTTTTCTTATTAATTTTTACTGAATTAAAATATCTATTTAACTTTTATTAAATACTATTTTTAATTTTTTTTTAGTAGGCCACTTTATTTAGTATAACTATATTATTATATACTCAAACTTATCTAAACTTAATATCTTTAGTTCTTTTGATTTGTTGGTTAAATCTTTATTTAATTGCAGGAGTCAACATAATATTAATTTAGTTTATAAATAATTTTGTTAGCTTTTTTTGTTTTCTTATAGTATACATCTATACTTTCTACTATATTTAATTAAGTTATTAAGAAAGTCAACTCTGCACTTGATTTATACTTTAATTTTTTTTTAATTTCTTTTATGTGAATTCATTTAATTTTCATTTAAATTTTTTTAATTTTTAGTAGATTATTTAAAAAAAATTATAATGTTGCAGGTACGATAGTTTTACGAAACGCTCTCGCGGATTTGGATTTGTCACGTTTCACAAAGAAGACGCCGTCGAGGCAGTCATGAAGGAAGGCGGCGGCTGGCACCACGTGGATGGCAAAGAGGTTGTTTCTTATTGGTTGCCTTGTAGGTGTGCTTTTATTACTGGTTGTTTAGTTAAAGTTTAATTAAAATAATTATTTGAGAGTAGCGCTGGCAATTCTTTTTATAGATTAAATTTTAATTATGGACTGTAAAGTTTGGGAGTTTTGCTGCTGTTATTGAAAATTATAAGTTTATATTTTAACTTGAAAGTTTTTTATGTTAATCTATTTTTTTTGTAATGGAAGGAGAGTTGTGGCGTATTTTTTTTTTTGTTACAGTGAACTTCTTTGTCATTTTTTTTAGTGTGCCTGACTTAATTTGTAGTTCATCATTAAATTTGGTTTGCATTTTAAATGTTTGTATGTTATTTTTAAAAAATGAAACTTATTTTGAAAGGGATTTTTTTTTGGTAATTTTACAGGTAGAAGTAAAGAGAGCCGTTCCCAAAACGCCGTTTCCTTCTCGCTTTCGAGATGCGAGTCGAGCAGGGGGTTTTTCTTTTTCTTTCTTTAAATACTTAAATTATTTTTTAATGATTTTTTGAGTTAAAGTATAGCTGTAATTAAAGATTTCTACATCTTTTTAAAGTGTTCTAAAATAATGTTATTTTGTTAAATTACCATTTTAAGTCTATTATTATTATTTTTATAAAAAAAGATTTATGGTCATCTAGTAATTTTGTTAGCTACATTTTTGGGGTTGTTACATTTTTTTTTTTTGAAAATTATAATAAAAGATTAACAAAAATACGTTTAAAGTTTTGTTATTTTTTATTACTTTACTTTTTGATTTAAAAAAATGATTCACAAACTTTACAAGTTTTAGGCGAACAATGAAGGATTACCTAAAACTTTTATTATTGAATTTGTAATTAAAATTAAATTCTGCAAGTTTGTTATGTTAAAATAATATATAAACAGCGCTGTTAAATTTTTCTATATTTTTAATTTTCTTTTTATAAATTTTAGTTCACTTTTTTTTTGATCGTCCATTAACAATAATTTTACTTATCTTCAAAATGATTTCTAAACTGTTTTAGTTCGGTTTTTTATATATAATAACTTCAAATTAAAAGTTTTTTTTTAAAAAAAAGCTAATGAATGTTTAATTTTTAATTAAGGTAGAAGTAATTAATTTATAAATTCAAAAGTTAATTATAAATAGTTAAGTCACATAATAGTAAACAAATAAAATTTGAATGGCTATAGAAAAATTAATTTTTGGTAATAGTAGGATTAAGTAAATTGTGAAATTCTTTTGAACATGGAAACTGTATATAAACTAATAGTAATAATAACATCAACGACAATAACTAACAATAATAAAAAATTTTTTTTAAAGCTTAAAATAATTTCCAACTTTTTTATAAAATGTATAGCCATTTGGATGGAAGTTTTAAATTTTTATATATTTTATTTTGGGTTATTGTTTTATAAGTGGATGATTTCTGTTTAATCATGCCACTGATTGGTCAATTTAGACGTTGTGGGCGTGCGGGGTCGAACTGGATTTATGGATCATCGCACGAGATCGCTGCGGCACGAACCCTATTTGCGCCCTGTTACGTTTTTTTCTTTTGATTACTTTTTGAAATGTTTTTTCAATTTATTATCGTTTATAGAGATTTATATATTAGACAGTTGTAATTTTTAAAAGTTTATTATAATATTAGAAATAATATTTATTATTATATATTATCTGTTTCATATTGCTTGTTTATTTCATTTGACGGAGGACGTTTTTTTTCCTTATGATTACTTTTTAATCTTTTTTTTTTGATTTATTATTATTAATAGAAATTTAATTTTTGGGAATATTTACAAAAAATTTATTTCGTGTAATTTAAAGAGTTTAATATAAACTGGAAATACTATTATTTATTGTATATTATATGTTTTAATATTGTTTGTATATTTTATTTTGATGGAGGGATTCAAAAAATTTAATTTTATTAAAAGTAAATTAATATCTGAATTCTCTTATATTTTATTATTTTTTTTTGTAAAAATGTCTTTATTTAGTGAGAATTTTTTTTTAAATTTTTAAGTCTTTTTTTGAAGCCAAAATTACAATAAAGTTTGTGTCTTTTAATGCTTTCCAGTACCGTTAGTAAACATTTGTTAATTATAATTTTAATCTATTTTGTTTAATAAATCAGAGCTTATTATAGAGTTTGTAATCTTTTTTTTTTTATTGTTAGTTAGCATTTTTTGTTAATGTGATTTTTAATTTTACAAGTAACTAATTTTTTTGTTTAAGCAGAAATTTTAGTATCTCTCTTTTTAGTATTTGATTTTTTTAAGTTAGAAATTAGCTAAAAAATCTTTTGTACGGTTTTTATTACTGTTGGCTTTTGATTTCAACTTTTAGGGAATTAATATTGTCATTACTTTTAATATTTTTTTGGAGACTTGTTAAAAAAAACTTCACTTTTAATTCGTTTTTTTTTAAAATAATTATTTTTTTCACTTTTTGTTTAAATTTAATAAATTTGAAGTTTTTTTTTTAATGGCTTATGAAATTTTTTAAAATTAATTATTTAAATTTCATATGATTTTTAGGATCTATTCGTGAAAAATTTATAATAATTAGTTAAATTGTATAAAATTTACTCAGTAATTATAATTTATAAAAAAATTTTTTTTATCATATTATCTTTCCCCACCTCTCTTTGTTACCTACAAAGATATGCAGTACATTTTATATATAATTATAACAAATTCAGTTCTATTAATTTTTTTTAGATTTTATTTACACGATTCCGGTTTATTTATATTTATTGAGAAAATTTTTTGTGTTAATTTACTAATTATTTTTTAATAAGGTCGATTTACGACGGGATTATCGGCTTTATGAAAATTACTTCTCCAGTTACGCTGGTATTAAAGCTTTTAATTTTCCAAATAGTAAACTTAACTCCACTTTTTTATTTATTTTAATTTGATTTATCATTTTTTTAATTTATTAATCTGATTATTATATAATTAATAACAAAGTTGAGAACGTAAATCTTTTGTTCACATTATTTAGAATTTCCTTTAGATTATTACTACGGCTACCCCGCGGGGAGCATTTACTATGCAGATCCTGAAAGAGGTTTTTAATTATTATTATCATTTGTTATTGTGATTAATTAATAATCAGGTTATCCGTTTCTTCCGTGGGACGGCTATATGTATTAAGTTTGCTTTATAAATACCCCATATTTATTGTTAAACTGCTTTGGAATGGGTTTAAAGAAGAAGGAAATTATAAATTTTACTCACAAAATTTAATTATAATTATGAATAATAATAAAAAAGTAGTTTTACAATTGATATTTTTGCATGGCTGTTTTATAAACTTGACTTTTTTTGGTAAAAAAATAATAAATTATTTACAAGACTTTTCTGCTAACAATCTACGCGTGGAACTTTGATTTTAAATCAATATGGCTTTAACGACGAAATTATTATATTTTTCCAACTATATAGAAGCTGCCTGTCTGCTTTTTATGGGCCAATCCTTAGATCTATCACAAAAAAGTTCGTAAAGCGCCCATCGGATCAATTAACGAAGTGCAGGGCTCGCATTTATCTAAAAAAACCAGATCTAAAGTTTCTCCTTCGCCTCACAATTTTAAAACTCCACCTTAAAGTTAAAAAAGATTTTTATCGGTGTTCTACTACACAAATTTGCATGACTTTCACTTATAAAAAATATGATTTCCAGTTAACAGCTTATTGGAACTAAAGATTTAATTAATTACCCACAAGTGCGGAATCTTAACTCGAGTAAGTGCGTTGTCAAAAGTTTTCTAAGTACAACCCTAATAACGTTTTTTGATTATCTATATTGGATCTCACAGATCATGCTAACGTTCATCTTTTATAAGCAAATTTATTTTCTACACGCTGTTAAACTCTTCAACTTGAAAGCAGTTAACTAAATTTAAATTCTCGCATGTAATGTGCAGGCTTGGACAAATTATTTTTTAAAACTCTAACCCTATAACCTAAATTATTTTTCAGATTCAATTATTCTTACAATAAAAATCTATAAGACGAGGTTTATTATATTTAATACGTTTTAAAAAATTTTCGGAATTAAGCGCCACTTTACTTTAGCGCAATATTTTCTCCAATAAACGCCGTACTTGGAAAGACATTTGGCTTCATCTCTAAATTGTGACAAGTAAATAATTAAATATTATAATTTTTAAAAATTTGGAATATCTATTTTTAATTAAAGTTAAAAAACGTACTTTTATAAAAATATATAAATAAGTTTTTCTATGACGTTAACACAAACAAGTTAGTGTATTTAATATAAGTATATATATCAATTTTAGTTTTACAACCAATTATTTCTACAAAACTAACGTCCAAAAAATTAATTTTTAAATTAATTAAAATTTACTTCCAACTGAAACTTAGTATTCATAAACAAAGTTAAAATTAAAGTTTCTATAAACAAATAACTAAATTGAAGAAAACAACTGAAACATTTATAATAATTCTAAAAATATAATTATTTTATAGAAATAAATTCAAATTGAACTTTATATATTTAATGTTGACATAATAGAAGTTAAGTTTATTTCACTAATTATAAAAAGTTAAAGTTGGCTAATTGGTTCTCAGGTTAATTTTTTAATTAAATTCTTTTACAACTTTTTTTTAATAGAAATAAAAATTAAAGTAATTAAACTGTAAAGTATATATAAAGCAGTATCAATTGTCTCCATTTCTACGTCGACTCTAAAATAAAAGCTTTAAAAAAGTATTTTAGTAACAATTTTACTTTTTAATCGTTTTTTATAACGGAACTTTAAGATTACTTTTTTTTATTTATTATTTAGTAAAACTACAGGTATTTATACTTCCTTGTAGCAAATGCCAAAGCTTCATTTAAAATTTACTAAATTAAAGTAAAGAAACTCTGAATACCATTTTTTCGTTAAGCTAATTATTATCTTTTATAAGAATATTACCTTCTTGAATTTTTTTATAATTTTTATATACAACTTTTATTGGTAAAGCTTTTTAACATTTCGTAATTTACCAATGTTACATTTTTTTCTTTATAAATTTCCAATTATTAGTCTAAAATTTCCTTGAGAATTCACTATATATATATATATATGAAAAGACAGCAAACTATGCTAACAACTTTCCTCTTTAGCAGAGCCGTAAGGCAAACTTTTAAAATGAAATTAAAAACTTTTCTAAATTTATAAAATTTAATCAATATTTTCGTCTTTAATTATAACACTTTTATATTAAACAAGTAAAACACTTTAAAATTCGGAATCTTAATTTTAAGTTATACAATAAATTTATTTTTAAAATTTACCTGAAAACGCGAGAAACCAATAAGATAGTTAATTGTAAAAAGTAAAAATAAGGAAGCACGTAATCAAATCCGCAGACAAGACAAAAGCTCAACGACATCATCAGATCAGCAGTGTAATTAAAATGGCGCGCCTGCACTCCCAAAAAGTTTTTATTTTATATATTTATAAACTTCTAATAAATTGTAGTAATAATAAAGAAATATAAAAAAAAATCAACCTAATCAAAATAATATTAAAAAAAAATGAATATTTATACCACCACTAATAATAATATTAACAGTGATTATAGACAGTAAAAATTTTTTTGAAAGTTTTATCTTTAACGAATAAACTTAATTTTAAAACACAATTATCACTTAAAATAAAAAAATTAATACACAAAATTTTGAAATTTAAATTGGATTCAGCAACCACATATGGACAATATTTAAAAAAAAAATTGCAAATATCAATTTATTTTTATAAAAAAAAACATACCAGGCCCCACCAGCCCGACGTTAGCAACTTGCTAGTAGTGGATTATAAAAAAAATTATTCTACAAAATAACTTAAAAAATTTAAAAAAGCGAATAACTGAAAGAAACTTTCGTAACAAAAATAAAGGCTTTCCTATAAATATAGGTTATCTTTTGTTTAAGTTTAGTTGTTGATTTATTAAAAAAAAAGTATTTAATAAAAATCTACACTTTTAAAATTAATAAGTTTTTAGAATGCAAAAAATTAAGCCCTCATTGCCTGCGTAATATTTTAAACTAGAGCTTCTATTAAACTGTACTTGTTAAAGAAAAAGTCTAACTTATTTTTAATAATAACTCTATATTTCAATTTCTTCTCAAAAATATTATTATTCTTAATCTTAAAAAAGATTGCTCATAATAATGAACTTCCGTAATAGTTAATTAAAAATCTTAAAGTTTATAATAACGTTCATGCGCTTTTCTTAAGCAGAGAAAATATATTGAGTAAAGCTTTTGATTATAATTTCTATATCAACTAATAATTAATGAAAGTAACGAGAAGGCAACCTCTCCCGCTGTTTCCCATCAGCGGTAACATAATTTGCGTTAATAAAAGTGGGTTTCTGGTTAAAGAAAAAAGCTTTTCCTTCAGTGGCTCTGTTTATCAATTATATTTTATTAATAAATTTCATAAAACAGTTATTATGCATTAAATTAAAGAAAAATAGATTTTTTTAATAATAATAAAATATAAAAGTTAACAAAAAGTCAAAGGCTAAAGAGAAAACCTGAATTTATCTTTCTGGTTGTTGGCAGATCTGAAAATCAGGTACCCTAAAATAAAATTACTAATATTAACTTTGCTACCAAAAAGATGAACAATTATGCTTTCTATTTTTTTTTATTTTTGGTTTATCACGTTTATAAAAAAGTTAAAAAACAAGTATATCAATATTTACACCAATAAAATACCCAATGAAAAGAGCAGAGAGATCAGAAAACATTCCACAGTCGAGAGAACACGTGGATGTCTAACGAGGAAAGGAGCCTGCAGCGCGTACATGATGGGGAGCCAGGCGGTGTCGCCCCAAGCCAGGTAGTACCCGAAATGGTCGTGGCAGATATCAATAGTGCGAAGATACCAGTCTGCTCAAGTTAATATATAGATAGTTACGGTGTTGCGTACACTTTTTATTTATTACAAAGACCAATATATATATATATTATATATAATAGACACCCTCGTGAAAGAAAAAGTCTGCGACGTAAACTGCCTGTCCAATGTTTAGAAGGACCATAGAATTGGTGAGGGCTCCATACAATTGGTATTGCCGGGCAGCACAAGAAAGATTTACTAAAGTCCAAAGGATAATACCGATTCTTCCGTTATAAAAAAGCTAATAATAAAGTTTCATAATAGTATTGCGCTAATCAACTGGAAAGACATCCAACAAAATACCTTAAAATCGAAGTCACCAATTCGAGGATTGAGTTCAACCCCTAAAAAAAAGTCGTACAAAACAGAATTTGAGATTTTATTATCCTCAGGATGACTTGAATAGTATTTCGCTTTGAGATAAGCAAAAAGGGCAAGCAAGAAGCCATGCACTTGCATGCACACAGAGAGCTAAAATATTGTTTATCTTTAATAAATATCTTAGTAGTTATATAAATAAAATGATATATTACCTCAATCCAATAATCGTATATAATGGTAGGGGCCCAAAAATTAAAGTAGGAACCCGCAAAGAATACAAGTAGCGTCAGTAAGTAGCAGTTTAAACCATTGACCTTATATTTTAACTTATGGCCTGCCGGGGTCACCTGTCCAAAGCCCGTGCGGCCTTAGAAAGTAACGTAATGGTTGTTTAAATAACGAACCACATAAATCTACTTCTCTTTTCATAAATTTATGTGTACCAGGAACGAAAAGAGCACATAATATTTGAAAAACAGTCCAAAAAGTATATAATTTGGCGGCCTTAATGAGCTTTGTAGTATTAGGGATCCAATAAGAAGCCTGGTCAAAGAATTTAAAAATTCTTTCATACTAAGTATTATAACAATAAGAAATTAAGCTTCTGTTAGAGTTAACGAGTGACGGGTATGATTAAAAAAAAAACTGATATTATTTACTGTTAGAAATAATTAATTAAAAATTTAAATTATTAGACCAATGGTCGTCCTTTAAGAAAATCAAGGAGAGGTTGAGTTAATGAACCATCAGCCTCTAGATATAAAAGAAAGGAACTGTTATATAGTAAAATTCTTCGTATAACCTTACCTTGCATGCTAAAAACGAAATAAAATTGTAATAAGGGTGTTAGAAATAAGAGAGAGACAACGGCAATCCAATTTAAAAAAGTTACGTAGTTATTCCGCCCCTAAAATACATCGGCCATGGTTAAATGCAATAACATAGCGTAGAATGTACTTTTACTTATTTTTAATATATACAAATACCCAAGTAGGGAGCTTTTTAACGTTCTGAGTATCATCCCTTTTCGCAAAGGTTTGATTGTCTATAACACTGGGGAATATAGCCATCGTGCCTTTGCTAAATGTTTTGACAGGCGAGTTAAAACCAAAATATTGAAAGACCTGTCGAGCGGTGCGTTAATATTTAAGGTAAGATAAATTTTGCATTTTTAGTTTTAAGATTTAAGATTTTTATGCTTTTTTTGACTTGAAATAGAATGTAGTAACCACCTTTTTTTAAAAAAATGCTGTACAATATTGATAGCAATAAATGCGACTATCCCGATAATTACTCGATTAAAATTGTACAGGGTAAATGCTTCGCAGTGCCATTATACACAAATTACATATTTATATAATACCTTTTATTTGTCAATTCTGTTACTCTTAAAATGCACTAGTTGCGCTATTTACTTTACAGATCGAAAGAAAGAGGCTGTCGGTTTACTAATTTGTTTGTGCTATAAGTATGGCTAATTCTGGAGCAAATCTGGTGAATCAAATTCTTCTACTAAATTTTGTGATTGTTTCTTCGGCCAATGGGCGGGAGTTTTCTACCTCAAAATCCACATGGTATATTACAAAATGAAAAATCACCTAAAAAGAGTTAACTCCTTTTTACAAGATGTCATCTCACTACTAAAGTAAAAGCGTAATTAGATAAAGTAAATATTATTAAAAGGTGCACTTATATAAAGCGATAAAATTTATTAATAATAAAAACTATAATAAGCTTATGTAGTATACATTAAAGTTTTTTTAAAAATATTTCTTTTTCTGTAAATGGTTTATCATTTTAAGCTATTCTACGCTTAAAAAAGTTAAGAAGCATAATTAAATTGCTGTGATTATTAAGTTTATCATAACTTCATATTTGCTCGAAATGTGATATTTACAGTTACTTTTGTATAAAGATATATTTACGCAGAAGCAATTTTAAAGTGCGTCCGAGATACCCAATAATGACTAAATAAAAAAATAATATTAAGCATTTTAATGGTTTTCCAAGGTAAATTAGAATATTTTTATTGGCTTGTGTAACACGCCATTACTTCAGTGTTGCAGTTGTGTGTGCGCATAAAATGCTGTTAAATCTACTTTTACTTCCTCCTACTCGTAAATTATTGACATAAGATCCGCTAGTTTATAAATACTACGCGTAAGGAAGAATTAATATTGGAGACACGCAAGGAATGTTGCTGAGGCTTGGGGCTTTTTTTTAATTTTCGTAAAACACGTAAAACCATCATTCCCGAATCGAGAGTTGCCGTTGTAGCTCTAGCGGTTAAAAGCTTTGCGCTCATACTCAAGATTGTGGGTTTCAGTTTCACCGACGCGGTACTTCTTTTCCTTCTTTGATGGTAGTGTATCAACTTTGCCCTCATAAATTCCAATAAAATATTGTTTTAAGACCTTAGCCATGTCTGTCCTCCGTATTAGTTTTACTTTTTTGGTCCTACTGTATTCTTTGTCCTTAGCTCTCGAAGAGTTTATTTGAGGGAGCTTACTTGCTTCAGAAAACTTTACCTATCCCCCTTCCTTTCCAATAAAACAATAAAGGTAAACATAATAGACTTGCATTTCCTAACTTCGTATTGCTTTTTAAGTTTTCCTAGTGTAATAACTTTTAGACATTCCCAGAAACTGCAATATTAACAAGTATAAACAGGGTTCGAAAAGGTTTAGTATAAATGTAACTGAAAGTTAAAAATATAAATTATAAAGGAATAAGTAAAAAAAAACTGTCTAAGAGTTTAATGGGGTTCATTAAAGGTCTTAATATTAAAGCTAGAAAGTTATAGTAGCAACAGTTTTTTGGTAAGTATGATAATATAGTATAGATAATATAACTTTCGGATCTGGGCAGGATATAATATAGGAAAATCAAAAAATTCATGCTTATTGAAACTACGGTTCATTTAAGTTACGAATGTTAAAATGAATCACGCAGTTTACATATTTGTACCTTAGTTTGTTTATTTTGCTTCTTAATTAATGCAACCTAACGTTAGTGTGTTTTCATATAAAGTAAGATTATCAACATATTTATTATTGCCATATGGCTTAGTTGGTATGCAATGGCTTTAAAATTTCAAACGCTTAATCACATTCGATGATTGTTTTTGAATGTGGAGGCGTTCAAAAGTAAAAACACGAATTGCAGTTTAATGCAACTCGAAAAAATAGATATCTGTGTCGTCAGCGAAACACAGAGCTCTTCTAAAATGTACCATTCAACACGCAACTTAGCGACGTGGCGCCAGAATCGGTTGTACACTAGTGGAGGAGGAATGGCTATTCTGATCAAAGGAAGCATCCAACACTATATTATAAGCATTACTAGCTCTGCAGGAAATCGAGAGAGTTGGTATCACCCCCAACCTGGCTAGACATGGGCCTATGACTGTAATAGCAATTTATAAACTGCCCTACCGACCACTCACGTTGTCCGAGCTTGACGCTTTTTTAGTGCACGGCATTCCTTCCATTCTATGCGGTAATTTTAACTGTAACATCCTGCGTGGAGGGTTACAAGTCGAACCGGCCACATCCTTGAAGCTTACGCTGAGGAATGTGAATTGAGAGCCCTAGGACACAGTTGCCAGTAAACATGACGAGGAAGATGGGCACTTGAGACGTGTCAATTATCGCTGAGTTAAAAAATATACCACTTTTAACGGCTTTTGAGGCACTGAATGAATTGTCATCTGATCGTTTGCCTGTCCTTCTCGAATTGGGCGACGAAAGGAAGCAATAAAAACAGTTCTCCGATCTTACAAGAATTAGAACAAATTCACCGAATTGCCCGAGAAGGCGTACCCACCTCCATGACACCACTTGAAACTCCCGCTAAACTAACCGGCGCTGCTGCCGAAATTGAGCGCGCGGTGAAAGAAGCTCATAGCAAAGCGGCGACGACACGTGAACTTGTGTTCCGCCATAAACGCCTTCCTGAGGAACTAAAGGCAATAATATGGGAGCGTCGGCGACTCATTCGAGTAGTCATAGTCTTCTAACGCGCAGTAGACGATTAGTGCTAAATCGCCTTCACTGGCACATCAGGAAAATACTCATGGCGCGTATAAACTGCTAATGGGATAATAAATTAAATGAAGTACCGGAAGCTGGGGACATCGGCAGCGCCTCTTCTTGGAAATTGTCAAGCGAGTTAGAAATCGCGCATGTGACTCGGCCACCACTTCTCCAAGCAGGTACCGTAGCCAAAAGAATGGACAAAGCGAAACTTTTAGCCGATAATCAAGCTGCCCAGTGTTTGCCTTCCGCCCACTTAATCATCGAAAACGCTCTCCTTGGGACTGATCTTTTCTCGTTTGGTACAACTGATTTTCTAGGAGCTGTCTACTACCGATGAGATCCAATTAATTGTTAAATTACTACCGTGGTTAACCTAATGTTAAACCAGCTGTCAGAGGCTGTTATGAATCATCTACCAGTCTCGTCAACTCGGGGCGACCTTCAGCTATTTCCCGGGTGAGGGAAAATGGCAGTATGACGTTATTAGAGACATCGCAACTGGCTTCGGAACCTCGCAACCATCGTCCCATTGGTCTTTTGTGGGGAGTAGATAAGATAGCTGAAGCAGTGATACTTAATCGTTAGAAGGTGGTTTTGGGGGCTCGTCGAATTTTACTTGAGTTTCAGTTTAGATTTCGCAAAGGACACTTAACGTTAAAACAAATTCTTCGCCTAACCGAGTGGACGACAAGAACCTTTAATCTATTAAAAACGCCCCATCGCTGTCTTTCTCGATGTTTAGAAGACTTTTGACCGAGTATGGCATGGTGACTTGTTACGCTAGCTACATGTTCTGGCCATACCGCGCGGCCTCCTAGAAGTTCTCAAGTTGTATTTAAACGACTGCGTCTTCAACGTGCGGGTAGGCGCTGCTCTGTCGGTGGCTCGCTATATTACCGCGGGACTTTCGTATGGCTATCTTCCATCACCACTGCTATTCGCGCCCTATACGTGCGACGCGGGACACGATGATACTATGATTTATGCTCCGTCAAAGTCACACATTTTCTACCTCAGCACTTGCAATTTTATCTCGACACGGTTGCTAGCTCGTGTCGGCAAGGGGACCTCTCCATAAACGCAGCAACAAGCAGGGCGCTTCTTATAACGAAAAACGCCATGCGCTGCCGGCTTCGTTTACTTTTAACGACATGGAATTTCGTGTTTTTCAGTTAAAATAATTGGGGGTAGGGTCATTATAAATTTTAAACTGTCGAGTCGTCCACACTTAAATTACTTGCCGGCTAAGGTCAAGGCAGCAAAAGTAAACTTTCGTTACGCAAAGGTTTTATGTGTTGTGCATTCGGCTGATTATGACAAATGCATCTCCTGTCTGGACTTATAACTTATCGGCATTAACTTCCTCGCATTAAGCGCGACAAAACAAGCTGCTGCCCCTGTTAACAAAGTGCCAGCGGTTTTAGCGCAATGATACACTTCACCACGAACTGCAGACTGAACTGCGGCCACAATCTTTGAAAATGAAGCAGTCACACTCTACGAACGGATAGCTGTCACGCTAATAGCCTTTTTGCGAAAGGGCTCACTTACAAGTTGTGGGACGGCGCACAATACCGTTGTCCGCGTGACTTACTCTCATCATTTGGTTGAAAGCTAAGTTGGGGATCTAAACTGAACGTGAAAAACATACGTTCATATATTAATTTTACTTGCATTCGAGGATGACACAAAACCTGTTTGAGATCTCATATTTTCGAAGTTGTTAACTCGATCGAACACCAGGAAACGCCATTTATAAATAAAATAAATAATATGGGTGAGGAGCTTATAGTCGGGGAGCCCTGCTGGCAGTGGTCCTGGCCGATATGTTCAGGGGACCTAGGTCCTCGTGCTTAAGACTGTCTCTCCCGATAGGGGTTTTAGAATTGTTCCACTAAATTAGGCCAAAATAGTCGGGATCGGGGCCCCAATATATACCGCTTTTCCAGTTCTTTCGAAACAGTCATTAAAGTTCTATAAAGGGCGTACACTGGTGGGCATTTGTGATCCAAACCTTTCAGAAAAGGAAAAGACAGTGCGGTTAAGGTTTCTTACGAAGACCGGCCATAGTATGCCGGTGCCCCCACAAATAAGTTGTAAGCTTTTGTTCTTTATTTCTCTTAGTAGACGCTGTTAGTCAGTTTATAGAGTCTGCGTACCGTCAGCCGGTTAGGTCTAACTATTATACTTTCAACAACAAGTAAATTGTTAGCTTAAAGAAGTATGCAATTACTCTCGCTCCTCACTAAATTTTTAATAATATCGGTCTCATTAATTTTTAGGGTGACTGCGTTGTCATTAAACTAATAGAGCCATTTTAATGAGTTCTTTTGTGACGAATTGATGCAATAATAATAATAATGGAGAAATAAAAAAAATTATACAGATAGTGACAACTGCAAAATTTAAAAAAATTTGAGATTTATATGCAAGCACCGCTCCTAAAAAGCAATGCAGGCAATAATACGAATTCACAACGCATTCAACAACTGCTCTCCGGGACCACATTTACTTTGCACCGCCGGTTGGATAACTTTTCGGGTTCTCCATTTGACCCCTCAAGTATTTTATGTTGCGGAAGAAAAGTTTGTGGTTGAAATAAAACTATTTATTAAAAGAAATAAGTGATTGTGATATTCCCTTATCTATATTAACAAGAGTTTTACAGTACATATACATTATATATTTATATCATTCTATTGTTTTTATTTTTTATTGCAAGAACCCTAATTTTAACGAGTTTTTTTAATATGAATTGTATATTTTTATTAACTCTTTTCTTTAACAAAAAGAATTTTGTTCGTCATGATTAGTATGGAACATGTCAGATCTTGATAGGTAAGATAACATAAATTGCTTGGTAATATCTTTTTTATGTTTTGCGAATCCAAGGCAAATTGAAAAGTTACGTCGCTGTGAACTTATTACAGAGTCAGAAGTTAAAGAATTATGCAATAAAGCTCGAGAAATTTTAGTTGAAGAAAGTAACGTCCAGAGAATAGATTCTCCTGTTACAGTTAATTTTTTTTTTGTATATAAGTTAATTTTTTTTAATACTTTGTTTGTTAGTTTATTTAATTTTTTCTTCACTTATATTTATCTAATTTGCAACTGACCTTTTGGGTAATTATATAGATTTGTGGGGATATCCACGGACAATTTTACGATTTAAAAGAATTATTTAAAATTGGAGGAGAAGTTCCCGAGACTAACTATTTATTTTTAGGTCGTCTTAAGAATTTTTTTTTTACAGGCGTTTATATTAAGTTATTTTTATCAAGCAGGCGATTTTGTTGATCGAGGCTTTTACTCTACAGAAACATTTTTGTTACTCCTCGCTCTAAAAGTTCTCTTTGTATACTTTATTGTAATAAACTTAAAGAAAATGTAGCGCTTTATAATTAACTTATTTTAAAAATTTATAATATTTATTATCTTTGTAAATTTATTATAATGAAGGTGAGATATCCTGATAGAATAACACTTATTCGTGGAAATCACGAATCGAGAGGAATAACACAAGTAATTAAGAAGACCTTTTTATTATTATATTTAATATATAAAATAAATAGTTTTAGGTTTTATAAATTTTTTAAAATTATATAAATATTAATTGTTTTATTAAGCACGAGTTTCATTAAAAGTTTGAAAAATATAAATAGTTTTTAAATTGTTATTCACGCGTTATTTATATATTTTTTTCATGAAAATTAAATTTTTTTACTTGCATTTTTTGTGAACTTTTTTTATTCTTTATATTATTAAATTTTAAAATTGTTATAGTTATTAATACTTACAAGAATTCTTCCCTTTTTTTTAAATTACTATTAATATAATATTCATATAAATACATTTATTGAGTTTTTATAATTTTATTATTACTATTAGTAGTAATAATAAAAGTTTCATATATTTAAGTAATAATAACATTGACAAAAGCTTTAATAATATTAAGAGTTTTGAATAAACGACTGAAAAATAATAATAATTAAAATTTAAGTAATTAACTTAAATGTACTAAGCGTATAATAAAAGATTTAAATAATTAATTAAAAACCTTTTGAAATTTCAAATCATTTATTATTTATAATTTATTTAAAGTATTTTGTGTAATTTTCTCTATTAATTTATTTTAATAAGAATTTTATATAATTTTCAAATTTTTTGTTGACTGCAGTTTGTTTATTTAATAAATATTTTTTTGGTAGTGCTCTAATTTAATTTTAATTGACTTTAATAAAGTGATTAAATATACAGATCAATAACATTAAAATTTTGTGAGTTTGTTATTTAATATGTTTAATCTAATCTTTATGAAAAAGAATTTTAAATTTTTTATTAATTACTTTGCATTTTATCTAATTTATCCAATCTTTTCCTTGGGCTTGCCAATTTTTTAACTAAATTTTTATAGATTTATGGCTTTTATGAAGAATCTCTTAGAAAGTACGGCTCATTGAACGTTTGGCGGTACTGCACTGAGATTTTCGATTATCTTTCGCTTTCTGCCTTGATCGACGACAAAATTTTTTGTGTGCACGGGGGCTTGTCTCCTTCTATTTCTACAATCGATCAGGTTTTTATAATATTAGAATTAATTTTTATAATTCTCTTGCATTTTATAATTTTTAAAGAAAAGTTATAGAAATATTTATATTTATTATTAACTATGATTTATTTCTCCTGATCAATTTTTTTATATGGATTTTAAACTTTTATTAAAAGTTAAGGATTTTATTAAATCATTATTCTTTTATATTTTTTTTATTAGTCATATTGCTTTTAATCTATTAACTATTTAATTTTTAATGACTATTCATAAGATCTTACTTATATTATATAAAACTAAAATTATTATTATGAACTTTCTTTTTTCTTTCACTTTCACAGAATTTTTATACATGTCATAGAAATCTTCAACGCCTTTTCATATGTTTTTAATATTATTTATGCTTATTTAAAATAGTTTATATGACATTTATGAAAGCTCAATATATATATTTTTTATTTACTATTATAAATTTTTAAATAATTACAATGAATTGTGTACTTTTTTAATCTGTTTTTATATTTTGATTATTCAGTATTTATAAAAAAGTGATAGAAATCTGACTATTTTATTAAACTTACTTAAATATATGGTTTGCTTATTTGTTACAATTTTTAAATTAAGTCTTTGTCTTTTATGAAGCTCTTTTTTTTTTTTAAGTTAAATTCTTTCAGTGGACATTTTTTTATTATTTTTTGTTAAATTCAATATTAAGTATTCAGTTTTGCTTAATAAAACTGAATATTTTTAAATTTTTTTCATAATTTAAATTTGGTTTTTTTTAAATTGAAATTTCCGTTTGCTTCTAAAGTTTATACTTTTAGTTATTTTTTTAAAATTTATAAATTTTATAATATACTTTATTTTAAGGTTTAACTTTATAATTCTTTTTTAATTTTGTTTAATCTTTTATATTTGTGATATTTTAAATTTAATAATTACTATGTTATATCTTTTTTTCTCTCCACAATAAGCGTTTACTCTCCTGCGAAAATTAAAATTTATATGTTTTTTTATATTTTATTGTGCTTTGAGTTATCTATAGTAAAAAAAAATTAAAAAAAATATTTGCGATTTCTCATTTTTTTTTGTAATCTTTTTAGCAATTATAAGTGTTAATTTTTATTTTAATCTTTTATTGCACTTTTAAATTTAGTTAATTTATCTATTCTTTAGAGACTTTTAATTACTACTATTGATAATATATCTTTATTTTTTTTGATTAAAATGTTTATCAACTTTTCATTAAGTTTCTATATAAATTATTTTTTCTAAGTAAATTTTCTATAAAATTATATTTTGCTACTCATTGTTTTAATATTTTATACGACATAACTTTAAATTTTAAAAATATTTTTTCTTTTATATTAAAACGGATCTTTTATTTTTTGGATTCCGCAGATTCGCACAATCGACAGGAAGCAGGAAGTGCCTCACGAGGGGGCCATGTGCGACCTTCTGTGGTCTGATCCGGAGCACATCGAGGGTTGGGGGCTCAGTCCTCGCGGCGCTGGTTATCTCTTCGGAAGCGACGTCGTGAGAAACGTAGAAAAACTGCTTGATTTTAACTTAATAGAATTTTTTTAAAATTTTGTGAATTAATTTTTCATTTAAATTTTTTGTAGTTCTGCCATCCTTTTCGTTCATAAATTGGTTAATTAGTAGGCTTATTTTATTTGTAATCTTTTTATAAGTTTATAGTTTCCTAATATATAATATATTTATTCTGTTATAATAAATATTTGATTTTTGAAAAAGAATCTTCCTTGTGAATTTTAAATTCTCATAAATATATTGATATATTCTTTATTTGTAGTTTTTATTTTATATTTTTTAGTAGTCTTTTACTGTTGGTATGTTTTTTGGTTAAACATTTTAATTATTTAAGCTCTGAAAGATTTTTTTAAATTTTTATAAAGTACAAGACACAGATTATTATTTAGTAAAGAAAGTTTAGTAATTTATATAAATTTTTTTCAGTTATCAAAAGTTCTCTTTAGAGTTTGTTTTACTTCTGACCACCGTCCACCTTTTTTTTTAATACTATTTTTTTTAATTTGCTTTCATTTTAATATTTATAATTTTTATATATTTTAGTTATACTTCTATTACTTTAGTATTATTATTCACCTAATCTAGTTTAACTCAATGAATGGAATCACTTTAATTTGTCGGGCGCACCAGTTAGTAATGGAAGGCTATAAAATGATGTTTGACGATTCCATTTGCACCGTTTGGTCTGCGCCTAATTACTGTTATAGGTGTCGCTTTTCATAGATTTATAAAAAGTAGAGTAGTATTTTTATACATGTATAATAAATTTTATATATAAAAGCTCACACTTGGTGTTATGATATTATTAGTAATAAATATAAAATCGTTTAATGTTTTACTCGAATTCAGATTAATTATAATTTTCTTTTAATTATGCTTTTTTTTGTTAAAATCTTGCATCTAAAAATAACTTCTAAAATTTTTATTTGAAAAAAGACTTTTTTGCTATTTTTAATATTGTAATCTTTTCATCCCGAGAGCCCGGCGGGATCCTGTATATTCATAATTATTTTATTGCCCGTCTAATTTGCCCCAACATATTAAACCATTTGGCGCCACAAGCTTTTTTACTATATATACGTCTACTTGTTCGTGTGGTTGGTTTTAGTGCGAACTGCTGGCTGAAGTAGACTGCCTGTGGCAAAGAAATTGGTGTTTTCTGAGCCTGCAGGGGGCCGATGGGAAAGAAATCTTTGGCTTCCTCTAAATTTTAAACTTATTCTATTAAAAAGTTTTAAACAAATTATTATAACAAACTTAATTTCCGTTTACTAATTAGCAAATTATCGTTAAATATATAAATTGATTGCCTAATATTTGATCGTCATCCCTTTTTTATAAGCATAATTTCTGTAGGTACCCTTGCAGTGTTCTGTAAAGCATTGATTTTTATTTTTTTCAGTCAGTTGGAGTAAACTAAGTTTATTAGGCGTTTAACAGCGTTCAAATATTTCCACTGATAATTTATTTTAATATTCTTAGTAACTTTTTTGTTATATATATATGCAAATGACTTATTTTTATAATATAAGATGCGGAAACGTTGCAGCCATTCTTGAACTTGATGAAAGTCTAAACACTAATTTTAAAATTTTTGAAGCTGCTCCTCAAGAAGAACGAGGTATTCCTGCTAAACGCCCTCAAATTGATTATTTTTTGTAAAAAGGATTTGAAATTTTTAAAGCGCGTGCTGTTCTTATAACTTTTTCTATAGTTATTGTAAAAAAATATATATGTTTACTACCACTCACCGCTTCTCTTTTTAATATAAATGCACTAGTAAAGATATACAAATTTTAAGTTTTTTTTGTTTACTATAGTAAGCCGCATAGTTCACAACACATTTTAGTGTTAAGCGATTTTTTTTTATTACTTTACTACTAAATAAACATGTCTATATTACTAACTAATTTCACCTTTACTCCGCTCTCGATTCAGCTGTTTCATGTGTACTGTTATATCTGATTTTAGGTTTTGTAAAATTTTACACCTAATTCTGAAACTCTAAATCTATCATATTCCTCATTTTTCCCTATTGATTTCGCATTAAAATTACGTTTGCACTCTAAAGATTTGACTATTGTTAAGTTTTACTTTCTTTATTTTTAAGTATATGAGAATAAAAGAACTTTGGGCAAGCGCACAACCCCAAGTATACTTAAGACCCCTCGTGATGTTAATTTTCATTATGCATAATAGCAACTTGGTTTAAAAATTATTCTAAAAATTGTTTTTATGGAAGTAAGAGAAACCTTTCTATAAGGGATAGCGGTGTGCGTACGGGCCAACTAGAAAGGAGCATAATATTATAATTATCTCAGTTTTATACTGATTTCAATGAAAACTTTAAGATTAATAACTAAACAGACTACTTTTGAAAAAGAGAATTTACGATTGCATAGCGTAACAGTATAAATTATATATACCGTGTACAAGTGTCACAATGCGCAATGTAAATAATATATTAGATAATCATATATTTTTTGTAGTGGCAAATGAAGTAAGTAAAACTTGGAAAAAAAACCTTTGTTTATATAGAAGTGCTTGAGTATGTTATTCTACAACTACAGCGTTAACTATTAATGTCTAGCTCGAATTTTTTCAATTTTTTCCAGTTGTTTTTTTCTTTTAAAAGCTGCGCTCCCGAGTACCTCTCGCTCGGCTAGCTCTTTTTCTTTTTGGCAGTAAACTTTATAATTCCCTGGAAACCATAATCTCATGTTGATATACGATTGCCTAGAGGTGCAGGGCTGAGTAATGCATTTTTAAAATATATTAATAACTAATAACTTTTCTTGTTTAGGGAGACTATTCCACTTTTCATCGGACATCTTTAATATTTTCTTCGTCTGTCGTTCCTTTTATATATTTACAAGAACAACAAAATATTTATAACATAAAAGGATTTTAATATAACTTTTTTAACTTTTTCAGCTTTGTCATAATCTAACTTCAATATGTAGTATTTATATATCCAGTTTGTTTTTTCTATTATATACAATAAAAATACTACATACTTAATATACGTATCACTACCCCATAAGAAAGTCGGCAAGACTAGCGGTATTTTTATCAGGGACATCCACAAACAGTCTTTCCAGTTAATTTTCTTCCATCCAGCTGAAATAAATATAATTTGATGTTAAATATAATATGTCCAAGCCGAATATAGATTTTCTAAGGGTTATACGTTAATTTGGTTTAGCGTATTACCTTCATATACAACTAAAAAGTGGTTCCAAAGTAATAATTAATTGCAGACCACTAATTTATTAAACAAAATAGCTGGTAAAAAATTTAACTAGCTATTTTTCTGCGAGTGCTTTTTTCTACTCCAACCGTTCTTTCTTACTCGTAAGTATATCTCTTTTTTTTTTTTAATAATTTTTCTATAGTTTATTATATTTTTAGTTCATTATATTTACTATGAATTTTCACACGTTTCAATCATTATCCTCTATATTACCATTAATAATGGGAATTTACTAACAATATAACTTATTTACATAGTTTTTAACTCTTATTGTTAAATAAAACTATAATGATAGTTATCCTTATAATTATCTCAAATAGTTCATTAATGTTAGTTATAACTAGCAAAAATGCTTATTGCTAACAAAAATTTTATTATCGTTTTACAAGTAATGCTTTATTCTTAAAAATTTTTATACTTCTCTTTAAGTTACGACATATACAATAAGCATATGCTTTCTTGTTACGTTTTTTCCCCTCATTATCAATATTAATAAAAAGTATATTTTAATTTTAAATCACTATAATAATAATAATAAAGTATAATGTAATTTTCTGATATCTTCTATTTGAATAAATGATAAAAAGCTTTTTTTTATAATATATAACTTTTAAACTCCGTTAATATAATTATATAAAACACTAAAATTTTATTAATATTACCAGAAAGGATTATATTCAGGTACAATATTGCAAGAATTGTCTAATAATTTCTTTAAACAATCTTTCATTTTTTAATAAACTTATAATAAAATAATTGCAAATGACTAAAAAAACAATATTAAGCTAATTAAATTTACAAGCTTCATTATAATGAAAAAATATATAATAATATCCTTAAGGGCCAACGGTACCTTCCACACAAATTTCAGTTCCAAAGAGGTCTATTAAAACTTGCTTTAGTTTATTTTTTTCAATAAGCTTTCCTTTTGTTTCCTGCACGCGACTTCTAAAGGCGGTCATACAAAATAATAATAAAAGAAATTATTGATTTATTAATCCTAAAATATAGTTTTAAAAAAAGGCACAAGTTATCCCAAATATACTTAACTTTTTTTTAAAGTTAATTTATAGTAAATCAAAGATCAAAGTCAGTAATGCCCATTTAATTTTTAAAGTTAAAATAAATAATAAGACAATAAAAAAATTTTTTTACAGTAATTTACTAATTGATTAAACAAAAACCCAAACGCTCTTAATCTTTTATAGAAAATTAACACAAATTAAAACTTGAGTAAAGCGGTTACTATATTATAATATTTTGTTAAATTAAAAAGATATATAATGTATCTCAAGTGGAAAATATTTGTTAAGCCAGTAATGTAATTTCAAACTTAATCTAGTTAAAAATGAAAATAATCAAAGCTGCATTTTTATAAGAATTACTTCTTCATAAGTAAAATAATAACCCACAGCTAGTCAATTTCACTAAAATTATAAAAATGTAACTATTCTAGTTTACTGGCATGAATGAAAACTTTATAATCACTCTACTTTTTATATAAATATTTAAAAACTATTAAGGCAAATTTGAGAGAATATAAAAACAAAGAAAGTAAACTAATTAAATATAATTTAGCGTATGCCATAAATTATAATGTCGTTAAAATAATATAAAAAATAATTAATTTTATTTTGAAGATAAATTTAATATCATTTTTCCCGCGAGATAAAAAAATCAAGCATTTGAAGTAATAAACTTATAAATTTTAAAAAAATTAGTAAGAATAAATATTCTTGAAGTTGGAAAAAATTGAGCAATAAAGTATAAAAGTAGATTTTATAAGGTAAAACCAATTTTTAGAGTATATATATTAAGTAAATTTAATATCCGACAAAGGTACAAAAAATTAACAATAGAAAGTTATTAAAAATATATTTAAAATTTAACCTTCAAAAGAAAAATATTTATTTATAATGCACAAAAAAAGAGAGTTATACAATAGTACGCTAAATTTTATAAAAAAAAGTTAGGATTTGGAATTTATAAAGAATGAAATAAGAGTTACTGATATTTAAGCATCCGTTAATGAAAATTATATTATTTTCTCGCATCTTATAAAAAGTACTTGTAGCATTTAGAAAAGTAAAATTGTTCTAAGTTTAAATAATTCAACAAAAACACTTTTAACTATTAAACTATATAAGCACTACAATTTTTATGATAAACCTTAACGAGAACTTGGTAGAATATATATTAAAAAAATAAATACCCGTAACCGAGCTCAGTAGCCTTCTGAACATATCGATTACGAATGCGTTCATTTTCTAGAAATTGCTTTAAATTTAGTTCAACACTATTATTCACGAGATAATATTGAGCAGCTGTTAAAGTTAAAGTAAATTTAATTCTTTATAACAATAATTTAATTATAAAATAACTACACTATAATAAATTTATGAAACTATAGAAATGAATTTAAAAGTTCTTAAAGCAAATACCAGTTTAGAATTAGAAAACTAAATTAAGTTCGTTTCACTAAATTTATACAAAAATAAAATAAGTTATAAAATTTTAAAAAACAAAAAGAAATTTTAAAATGTCAATGATTCCCACTTTAAATAATAATTTTAATTTGAAATCACAATAAAAATATAATTCTCAATAACTTAAAAATATATGTTTTTAAATTTTTTTTTAACGAAACTCTATTAAAAAAAGATTGTAAAAACAAAAGTAGTGTTACTAACTTTCGTTGACGTAAAAGTACTGTACCTTAAAAAAAAAATTGAATTAATTTTCACATTAAGTTTAAATTAACTTACTAATAAAAATTATTTAAAATAAAAAAAAATTTATAAAACTACGAAACTTTCTTTAAAAATGAAATTTATATAAAACTAATATAAAAAATTAAGATTCAAAATATGTATAATTAAAAAAATCTTTTTATTTAATCTAATGTGAAAATAACTTGAAGTAAAAAAAAATTACATCAATAATTAAAATTCACAAATTTAAAGTAACATTTTAAATATATGAAGCTTTCAGTTATGTATAAAGCTAATCAAAAAATTAAAGTAGAATTTTAAGTTACATATCCTTAAGCTATTGAAAAAATTACTTCAACTTAGTTAAAATTAAAATAACTAAAATTTAATTAAAAAGAAGACTTTATTGTTTTAAGAATACCTCAGTATTTAAATAACTTTTTAACTAAATAACAATAATAGATAAAACTTATTTTTTTTGTACTTAAAATTTTTAAATTTAAGAATTTTTAAAGTAAAACAGGAAAGATTCCATAAAAAAGGTTGAGAAGTTAGTAAATACTATATAATAATACATACTTTAAAAAAAAATTATACAATTAGAATTGAGATTATTTTTTCAACATCAAAAAAATAAATTCACCGAAATCATTCAAAATAAAGAAAAATAAACAAAATTAGTTTTAAAATGATATATAATAAAAAAAGATTTACGGGCGAAAGTTTATTTTTATAAAAGAATAAAAATTATAAAAGTATATGTTAAATATGAGTAAAAAATAATAAATGGTAAAACATATAAACATACAAATTTTTTATAAAAAACAATTTTTATAGAATTCCCAAAAAAGTATAAACAAGTAAAAATACTGAACAGCCAATTTAACGTAATTTAAATAATTACGAAGTAAACCAAAATACAAACGAAAAATAGAAATACCCGAAAAAAGAAAAACGAGTAATATCACAATTACTATTGAGTTTGCATGAACTTTGTAGCGATAGCCGTACTTTAAGATCATTTCACGCCGAAGTTCTTCCGGATGGTCAAGCAAAAAATTATATCTTTAACAAGGAAAAAATTTAAAATAAAAAAATAAATAAACAAAAATAAAGTGGTTAAAATATGATAAACACTGATAGAAGAGATTTAAGAAACGTAAGAAAATTATGTAATTAGTAATTAATGTTCGGTTATAAGTAAATTAAAGTAAAGAAAATAAAGGAATAATCTTAAAATATAAAATTATAAAGGATTGTTTAATAAAAAGGAAATTTTATAAAGTATTTATTATTTTAAAAAAAAGTTAAAAATAATAAATGACTAAGTTTGTTACTAAAAATAAAAAAACACCATAAGTTACTTGAAGTTATAAACAGATTAAATATTAGAAATCAATAAACTGTGATAATGTAGTGTAATAAGTGTATACAAAAAGATTATATACTGATCAGAAAATTTCTATATAAAAATAGTTTAAAAGTAAACTGTACTGTAAGTACCTCTTTATAGCAATAATTATATAAAAGATGAATTTATTTATAAAAAAACTTATTTAGTTATAAGTTATAAAAAATCGTATCATATATACATAAAAATCAAAATAGTAACAAAATTTAATAAATAATTTATATTTTCAATTTTTGGCAGAAAAGTTTTGTTAAAAAATATTAATTTATACTATTTTTGAGGTACAAAAAAAGTAAAACTGAAAGTTTTTAAAATTTAAAAAGGTTTCTTATATTAATTATTTCGTTGTAAATAATGAATTTAAAAAGAATCGATAAAAAAATAAGCTTTGGCATTAAAAAAAAATCAATTAACTTATAGAATTACTTAAAATTAAACTTTAAAAGTTAATAGCTATCTTTCGCTAATTTTGACACCTTTTTCGCTTTTCATTATCTTTAAGTGTTTCATAAGCAGTAACCAAAAGGTTTCTATATTTCTTTAACTCGTTCGAGTTAACTTCCCCAACCTGATTATCTTTACGATCGGGATGGAATAATAGTTGTTTCTGCCGGAAAGCTCTAGAAATCTCCTAATAAAGTAAACAAATATTACTTTATTTAACTATTACCGTGCGTATGTGGTCATAGAAAGAGGCAAAGGTGAAAGCTAAATATATACTTTTATGGAAGAATTTCTATTAACGCCAAGAATTTCATAGCAAGTTTTTTTTCCACAATAAATTCCTAAAGAAAAAAAATAAGTAAATGTATATTATATATATTAAGTGTTTACCATCATATAATGATTTAACTTCTATAATCAAAGTAAAGAATACAAATAACAAGAAATGATGTCTTATTCTCCAGGAAAGCAAAGTTATCATACCCAAACTATAACTAATTTCACACAATAGCGTAAACGTCGCTTGAATTTTAGCAAACTTGGAGAGACTCTTGGTATAAGTCAAACCCTACTAACCCTAACCCTAACCTTTATTGAAACGAAGTATGGAAAAAATGAAATTTTTTTAAAAACTACTGAATATTATTAGTAAGTTCGTGTTATAATACTGACACCGCTAGTGTTAGCATGTAGAATAAGTATTTTTTTTACAGCTGAGTAGATAACTTTACAAATTAGGTAGTAAAAATAGTTCTTTTGAAGATAGGCCGTTTGGAGTCGAACTGTTCTATGCAATTAAGTAGGTAATTATTCAAGTCATGTATTAAGAAAAGGTCTCTTAATGAAGAGTCGTTTCTTGTTATTTTGTATTATATGTATAGTATTATTATTCTTTATAAGAGTATAAAGTACCTAAAATATTAGTATAATTCCTCCTTTCGTTACAACTATTACTACAAACTGCTTAACTTAAGAAGAAAACTAAATACTTGTTTATCTCAGGTTATCTATAAAAGATAATTTCTGAAACACCAGCCATCCCCTTTAAACTTTTTTTTTCATAGAAAAATAACTCTTATACAATTATCGCTTAGACACTTGTATTTTCTACTTACAATCTAACCATACAGCTCTAAGTTGCTCTCTGTACACTTGTCAATATAAAATAAATCGCAGAAATTGAAGTATTTTATATTTAACAAAGAAAATTTTTACCTAATTAATAAATTTGCAGTTTACAACCTTAAACTTTTTTACTAAATAAAAGTTCCAGGAAAATTCTGTCCATCTTATTTAGAGGTAGGAACTAAGACAAGTTACAGCTTGACACCCGTTGAGCAATTTATGTTTTTTTTCTTCATTACAAATAAGTATCTTCCAAAATTAATTTAATTTAGAGTAAAATAAATAAAAGCTCTATTAAAGTTACTTTGAAAGCTAATAAAACCGCAGCAGTTCGGATTAAAAACGCAATAAAAAAAAAGGGAGAAATTAAACATACTTTTTTTTTTTTTTTTTTTTGCGGAAATCCCGTGCGAACAGAAAAACTGTTAGCTAAGTTAAAATTCAAAATTATTAAACAAATCCTTTTAAGAGGTTGAACGAATTAAGGATTATTACAGAGTTAAAACGTCAATCAACGCAAAAAAGAAACATCGTTTTTATTACTCAATAAGATTTTAAACTACTACACAAGTTCTAACTTATCCACCAAAAAACGGTTAACACTGGCTCTAAGGACTTTAACTTGTGTTATAAAAGTCGATACAAAGCTTTAATGAAATATCTATGTTATTACTTGAATCTGCTTAAATTTTTAGGTTCAGCTAGAAGCATTTGTACAAACTCACCATGCTTCTCCAAAAGTTGTGAATTTAGTACATGACTATACTTGAAACGAAGAATTAGCTGAAACTAAAAAAATATGCAATTATATAATTTATTTAATTTCATAAGCTAGTCATCATCTTCAGCATCAGCTTGTATCTTTTTAGAAGCCTTCTTACGTTTAATTCTTCCCAAGCGGCCGCCCGCTACTAGCGAAGAGTTGCGGGAAAAATCAATGTGCTTAGCCGAGTCTACACGAACCAAGAAGGAAGGGACATTCACAACTTGCTTCCCAACTCTGTACATAATCAACTTAATCACGACGAGCGATAGAAAAAAAAAATAGACCTTATATGGCGCTGTCGTATCAAAATGCGAGCGTGATGAATAGATTTAGCGTAACGAGCCTTATATACTAAAGTTTGCAACCGTCGCTCCAAAAAATCTTCGGTTTTCAAACCCAAAACATAATCCAGTTTCATTTGATCTTCGGTAAGAACGCCCAGTCGAATAAGTCGGCGAAGAAGAGCATTCCCTAGCGTAAAATGGTTATTTAGAAAAAAAAGTATAACTCTTCTCCAAAGCCTCTTAACTTGGCTATACAAATAAAATTATTAAGCTGTTGCTATTCAGTAAATAGTTTAGAGCATAAAGCAATAGTTATTTGCTTTTATTAGTCAAGAGGTGTCAGAAATTCAAAAATAGCATCACAATAACAACAGATTACAAATGCTGAAAAAAAAAATTTCCACCTTCAAATAAACGTCGAGGATCTTTCTCTTGCAAAGTCAATAATTCACGGGCTGCCTTACGAATTTTTGCCAAACAGTATTTAACTCTCCAAACTTCTCTTTTATTTTTGAGGCCGTATTCACCAACAAGTTTTAGCTCTTGATCTAATCTCTCCTTTTCATAAGGACGACGAGGGGTTGTATAAGTCTTACTATCTAAGTATAAGAGGAAATAGTTAGAGAGATCAAAAAGCTCTAAACAAAATGTATTATATAATGTTGATAATATTAGTACAATTGGGCCGAGGCATGGCTCAGCAAAGACTAAATCCAAACGACAAGCACCAAAGGCGAAAAGCAAGGAACTGCAGAAAAAAGAAAAGCACGCTACAGAGAAGAGGGGATACTGCCGCCTTGCGATAAGCTAATTATACATTTGCTTATGGAGGGTTAAACTAAAGCGTGGATTTAATTTCTTCCCCACTTTAATAAAGGGATGGCAAGCAGTATTTTATTAACTATGACGATAACTATAACGTTGTTAACTAATTTAGTCTAAATTTTAAGAGATGTTGTTTTAGATTTTTATTTTAATAACTTTAGATTTATAAAAAAATTTGTTAATTTTCTTGAAATAAAAATCTAATTATAAAAATTAGTTAGGTAAACTATTAACTAAGCTAATTAATCAAAAAAATCATTAATTTAGTACATTCTAAGAATTAATGCCCGTTTACCACATTATTTCTAAAGCAAAGAACATTTAGGAAAAGATTCACCCTCGGTATGTTTCAATTGTATTAAGTTTCAGTAGTTAAGAATACGGTTCATAAAAAATACAGGCCTTCAAATATAACATTATTTATTTTAACGTGGAGGCCTAAATATTTCTTTTGAATAGCTGGGCATAAGAAGTGCGTGTGCAAAGTTGGCTAATTTTAAAAATTCGGGGAAGCTCAGTTTAAAAAAATAAAGTTATATTATAAGAGGAATTGCTTATTATTGGTAAAGCATACCAGAGCGCAATGTTAAAATACCCCCAAAACTTCCGGTAGTTTTTCCATCTCTGCTCATAATGTATGTTCCAATTGGAGGCAGTAGAGGGTAAGCCCTTAAACAATTTCAATTATAAGTCTCGCAAAATCTTTACGCGATTATAATAGAAACAGGTTAGTTAAATAGGCGATCATAAAAGAATAAAAATTAATTCGGCTGGAATTTTATAATAAATATTTGAGATCCTACGCCATCTACCTTTTTCTCTTAACAAAAACATAGTCTACTGAGGGGTTTGCTAAGCTTTCAACGTGTGCCCTGAAATGAGTTCACCTTTTAAACTTTTTCAACACTTCAGCGTACTATAAACGCCTTTTAGAAGAACTTTCTCAGGCCCAAAGCTATTTATATATGTGTGTTCTGCATGAGTTCCTCAAATGCTGAAAAGGGAGAAGAAAGTTTAACACCAAAGAAACCTTTGTCCTTTACTTTTAAAACGAAGTCTAGCCATTTAAACATTAAAAGTAAGAGCGAGATTGTAACAAGTACTGGAAAATCTATATCATTTTTTGAAGCTGGAGAAAGCTTTTTAGAAAAGGGCGAGAATCATAACTCTTCCCTAATTTATAAGGCACCGATTCCTCTCGTTGCCGATGATAAATGGTTTAACAAAGGCAAAATTACTAGTAGAGCTAGAGCTGCTTCGACGCAGACCAATAACCTGGCCTCAGGTTTCTCTTCGTTTTTATTAAAGTTACTGTTAATATCATTCACAATTTAAGGATCCGAGGAAATAGTTTCCGCTGTAATATCTGATTGGACAGGTAATAGGTTTTTTAGTTTGGGAAAGAGTATACTTAAAAAAAAGTTCAAGTAACTTTGAAGTTCCTAAACTTTGGACTTAATAGATTCAGTCACTTTAAGTAAAAAAAATCTGTCTGGAGAGAAGAGTATTCCTCTTTTGTCTAGCGATAGATCTTCTGTTGATGGTTTACCTTGGCTTTACTCTTGTTATATTGGGTATTAGTTCCTAAATATATTCTCTGAAGTTGGCAGGCCACTAAGCGATATAGAAAAATTTAAAAATGATGTTAATTTTCGACCCAACGAGTGCACCACGGAGCAGTACGAAGCCATGCCAGTGGAACATTTTGGAGTGTTGCTTGTGAAAGGAATGTTAAAGGAAAATGAGAGACTTGAAGAAGAGTATTTATTTCTTATAATTTGATTTTTTATTTTTTTTTATTTTGCCTACTGCATAACTATAATAACAAGGCATGTATACTAGACTTAAAGAACCTCGTAAACCGCTTGTGAGGTACGGAAGAAGAGGTTTAGGCGCTTCCATGTCTATTGAAGATGTACACACTCTCCCTTTCAATATCGCTTGCATTCCTTTTGCTTATTTTGTTTAATTTTATTTAAGCAAGACATTGAAAATTTGCTGCGGAAAAATAAAAAAGGCAAAGTAATGCAAATCCTTTTAAGCTTTTTTTTTTCTCTTATTGTTATTAAATCTTTAGGGATATACTAAGCAGAAAATTAAAGCTTCTACAAAGATCCTTTATAAAAAAAATGCACAAAGTGTTGCTCGTCAAGCTGATCTTTGTGAAGGCGACTTTGTAGAAGTGACTGCAGGCAAGCTTATGGGCTCCTGCGGCCGAATCAGTTCGATTAACAGGCAGCACAACTACTCTTTGCTGGAGTTGCCCGTCGAAAATTTGGTTTTTTTGCTCGATTATTTTCTTTTATCGCGTTTTTGTTATCTTTTTAATTAGAAAGTGAAATTGCTTAACACTGATTTGAAGATTATACCCGAAAAGAAATTTCTCAAAGCTATAAAAAGCTTGGCCAAAACTTAGTATCGTTTATTATAAGTTTATATTTTTTGCGTCTCCTGCATCTTCTAAAAGATTTTGGTTGAAAAAACTTGAATTTACCTTAACTTTGTTGTTTGTGTATCCAATAAATTTTATGTTTTAATTGGAAAGAGAAGTTTTATTTTAAGCTAGCTTCCCCTTTATGCTTAGAATCATGAAAGCACATTTATAGTAAAAAGCCTTAATTCGGGCAGTTATGAATCCTCATCAAGTTTGGGAGATCTTCACACTGGCCCTATTATAAACACGTAGCGCCTCACGAGCCTGGAAAACACTTGCAGGGCGCATAGTGGTCGCGGATGAGTTGCTAACCGCCCTAGTTTACTTCATTCTAAATAGTTGCCACTGCCCAGGCTGCTGTACTGCTCGCCATGGACAGCAGGCGCCGGAGTTGCGGAATGAGACTGGGGGAAAAATTGTACGACGAAGTTTTCGATATGCGAGTTCGTCTTTTGTACAGCAAAAACGCCATAAAAAAATAGAAAAACACCCTTTTATTATACAATTAGTTTGGCTTTGAAAAAAAAATTACTATTTACGGGCCCTTCCAATGGGCATTCCCACTCTCACCAGCGTTTCAAGCGGCCTTAGCGAGTTTTCTATAAGATCTCTATCAAACTACGAGATGTTAATCGTAAAGATCTATAAAATTTTATGAAAACGATCGCACGAGGATGCATCCTGGTTGAAAGAGCAACAATACGGTTGATCCTCCAAAGGCAAAGTAACCGTGTTCTTCGCCCTTCCGCATCTGCTCGGTTTGGTGGAAGTCAAGTTTGCGTAGTTGAAGACAGAGCACGTGTACCTCTCCCTGCAGTGGCGCAGTGATGTTTACGGATCCGACCATGGTAGCGCCTATGCATACCATTAGCAAGAGCCCAAATTCTTTTGTGTGTACTTCCTCTACAATCCTGGAAGCGAAGAAAGTTGCGTGTGCGTTGGGCACCACATGGAACTACTTACCTTTTGTTCTCGGTAAAAACGTCGATACACTGGCACACGGCGATGGGGTTGACAGTAAGTAAAGTGCCGTCAACTTCTACGCGGCGTCCGAGTTTCCCTGACACCTGCATTGGTTTAACGTGGATCTGCCTTACGAGCTATAGGTAAGTGTAACAAATACAGGCATGTGCCAGCGATGATAGTCTTGTGGAGCCAAACGCGCTATTACCAGCGATCCTTCGTGGAACTACACATGTGCACGGCAGTTTATAAGCACTGGTAGTATACTCTAATGAATGCGCAAACCAGCGGTGCCACGTCGCTCAAATGCGGTCCGAGGAGTTGAGTAATAGTAAATCCTGCGCCCTTGACCCATATAGCTGTGGCTATAAAGGGTACATTGTACTACGCTTAAGTTAATCTGCTAAAGGAGTGTACCTTCCTTCACGGTCTCAAAAACTGTCATTCTGCAATCAGCACAACTCACGACTATTCGATTGTCATTCTATCGAAAGCTAGATAATGACTTTTCCAAAAAAAAAAAAAAAAAAAGAAAATGTATTAAAACAAGAAAAAGAACCGGAGAGCCGATTGTTCTAGCAGTGGGTTTGAGTTTTCTATAGAAAAAGTGGTTAAAGCATTTATAGTTTCTGTTTTCATCATCGACGGGTAGTAGCCACTCGGCTGAGTTTAACTTATGAAAACTGATGAAGGGCCTTATATGGGCTACTGATGCGGGGTCGTCCATGCGTTGGCCCTGGAGGAACCATATCACGTGCCTTAGCATAGTCACGCAGTTGGGGGCTCTCCTTGTACCTCCCGGCGGGACATAAACTTGAGAATCCTGTGGATAGACTTAGTCCTCACTGTAAACACCCTCGACCGTTTACTATACAACAAGTTCAATGCGACTTTCACGTAACGCGGAATGTTTTCGCTAACAATCAAGCCGGTCGTGCGGTCCATGACATTTAACATGAGCATATCTTTCCGGCTTTTGTATTCTGCCAATCAACGCGAAAATAGTTTTTCCACGGAGTCTAAAGTTTGAAAAGTACACGCCTTCGTTAGTACAGAACACGCCAACTCCAGTTCGTGTTCTTTCGGAAAGAGTGTCGGCCAGCGAGTATCTGTCGTCAATCATATTGGCCAGCCCCTCCTTTCCGTCCGCCAAAAAGGAGAGCAAGTTATAGGCTAAAGGGTGCGACTGAAACTCGGCAGACTGTAGAAAATCCAACAGATCTTCCTCCTTGATTTCTTCTTGGTGCTTGAGTTTCTGTAATAATCGTTAATTAGTATGAGCTAAAGACGGGTTTAGTAATTAAAATACAACGCACATCCATTAGTTCGTCGACATTTTCCTTGCCTTTGAAGTTTACCGAGGAAAGCATGGCGTAAACTTCGAACCAGTCCAAAAGACCATCCTCGTTCGTGTCAAACTGCAAAAAAATTTACTTTACGCACTTTCAAGCACGCTATAAACAACCTCTTCAAGGAGTCGTTTGTAAAACCAGCGCTCCACATCTTGCTTTGGAGAGAATTTAACTCTAAGTAAAACTTTGCCGAGCATGTTCTGGTCAATTTCCTTCATGTGATAGTAAAAAGGTCACCAACACGTGCGTGCAGGGCACAAACTTGCCAGCAACCTCCTCCAAGCAGCGTGTCAATTCCGGCGTTACGCCTTCGGAAGCTCCAGTAAAGCTAAGTGGGTTACGACCAATGGAAAGCGCTCTCGATAAGAGTGGCGAAGACGGTGGTGTGGCTATTCAGAATTTTTATTGATCTTCAATTTGTGATCTGGAAATCTACTGATTACCTCGTGCCTGTTTGAAACGTGTCCACCATAGCTTTCTTCCTCCCGTTCTTTGATGCTGAATAAGTGTACGCTCTGAGTACACTAAACATTATATTACCTTTTCGCCTTAACAATTTCTGGCAAATCTCGTTCTAATTCAGACTCGCTCCTTTGCATAAGTGTATAAGTTGTGGCTTAATAGAATACACGAAAGGAGCGAACTGTGCGTTAATATCCGAAATTTCTTCAGGCACTCCCTTTTTTTCCATAAGACTCACCTCAGCATTTCGTAAATCTTCCATACTCTGGGATCTGTATAAAGTGTTACAAACATACTTTATAAAACTTATGGATCTAAAATGTGCGCTATAAGAGAAGAACTGTGTGAAGGATCGAGTAGATAATAGTTCACAGTGCATGGAGTCCGTAAGTTTTTCGTCAGTCTGGAAAATCGGGACCACAAAAGTGTAGTCTTTAGCCACCGTAGTTTCGACAAAACTCAAATCAGCAAAACCAATTCCAGCAAATCTTAATTTACTATAACTATATAAATTAAAGTCATCTACGGCATGTACCGAGAAGCTCTACCTCCTGTTGAGGGTAGAATATAAGACAAGTTTGAGCATGTACTTTACCTCTCCTTCTTTGACCCATATTCTGCATTCCTGATGATCAATACGCCTATAAAAGTATTGAAGTCGTTATGCATTGACTAAAAGTTTTCTTGCCTGATTAAAAATGGGATGCCTGCCGGCGACAACCCGAGTTCTAAAGGCAGAGAATCCGTGCCTAAGAATGAACTGAGAATTCGTGGCTTGGTTGCTTTTGCCCTCTAACCCTGAGGTAAGCTAATAAAGTGTTGCATATCTACAATGAATATTGTTATAACCCCTGAAATATCCAAGGCGAAGAGAAAGTAATCCTATATATTTTGCATATTCTACTTCCGAAGGATTCGCAAAGTTTACATGCGTAACATTTATTTGAAGTTGCAACTAGATATTAGTTAGTGTATATAGTAAGAAAATTTTTTAAAGGTTTTTAAGAATAAAATAGGTTTCACTTTTCCAGCGAAAGAACCCTTTTCGTGGAGCGAGATCCAGGAAGTTATCGGTAATTTGTAATCAGAGCTGTCAAAGTTGTAAAGAGCACTGCCAAGCTGTTCCTCTTCGTCTCCAAGGATTTGAATTTCAACACTGCCAGGTTGCTCTTTCAAATATAAGTCGAGTCGATCTTTCTCAATAGGAGTAGAAGGGCCTATTTTCTTTGGGTTACTAAGTAAGTGTTGCTTCCCTGCTTTTAAGCATATATGAAAGGGGCCTGTCTCACGCTCTGCAAGCCCTTGAATTAAAAGTACAGAAAGCGCAACCCCTTCTAATAAAGATAAGAAGTATTTAGATATAGATTGGGCATCTTCTATAAATAACGAACCTTCATTGTTACTATGTAGCATTCTTTATACATAAAAGTTAAGATAATATGATAATTTTAAGTAAATTTGATTAATTTATATCTAAGTTAATATATAAAGTTTATTATAAAGTAAAACAGAATTTTATTATTTCTGCAAAATGAGATCATTACTTGACATGTTTGGTCTGTTAAGGACATTATAAGTTATAAAGTGACCAATGGCAATGAGTTTTATTATTGAAAACCTCTTACGACTAATATGATTAATAATTTAAATATAGTCTTAACCAGACCGGCAAGGGAAGACCAGTCCGCTTTTGGAAATAGTTTTTATTTTATTATAATAAAAATAATTTTTTTTAACCTCCAACCTTAGTTTAGCGTCCTTTAGATGCCTCTATTTGTTTGCACAAGAGCAGTTTTTAGAAAATCTCGTTTTAGTTTTATACTAAAAAGTTAGTCTTAAAAATATATATTTAATATTTTTAATTTTGTTCTTATTATAATTAAAATAATTAAGAAGTTATCAAAGTAAATTTTGTAAATTTTGTAATGATATCATGGTTTTTTAAAAAATTAAAATTTTTGCATATTTTATTTAACATAACATTGTTGTCTTTGCTTTCTAAGCATACAAAATTGCTTTTAATAGAGAATTAAATTAAAGATTCATCATTTACAAAATTATGATAATAATCTGTTATAAACTGTGATAGTTTAAAGGTTTCTATTGCTTTGTTAATTTTAGGTTCGTATTTACTTCTGCTTTTCTTACTGGAGTTTAACTTCTATTAAACACACATAAACATATTGTTAAACCAAAAAGGTAGGCCATCAATAAAATTAACTTTTTTTATGTTAAGAAAAGCTATTTAACGAAATTTACAACTAATTTGTGTAACTTCATTATAGATATTATCTGTAATAATAGAACCGCAATGAAATAACCTAACCCTAACCCTATTTGGTGCCTCATATCTTCTGCTTTTCATCGCTTAAAAATATGTATATAATTTTTAGTAGGATATTTTAACTTTAACAATATTTAAAAAATATTTTTTATTAGAAATTTATTTACAGCCTTACCAGTTTGGTCAGAAAATTATTTTGTGATTACATTAAAAAAGTTAAATATTAATTGCACAATAATAAAAAAATACTAACCAGATATTTATTCTTATTCAATATATTAGTAAAGGATAATTACTGAACGAGATTATTAACTTTCAGTTAAAAAAGAGGTGACTTTTCTAAGTACTTTTAAACAATAATTTGTAACGTTATATCATGACTTCAATGTCTCTTTGAAATACATATATCTCAAGGTCACACCAAAAACTTAATAATATTTATTAAAGGGCTGTTTTTGACACTCCCGTCACTATTTATCTTTGTTACAACCGGTTTAATGTTTTTTTTTTGAAATTGACCAATAGTTACCTTTCAGTTGGTTAGAATGCTATAGACTATTTTAGGAACTAAGCCTAAAACTTGCCCTAGAAGTGCACTTAACAAACACTAAAATAAATGTCGCTTTGTTTTATTAAACTTAAGAACGAGTAATTACGAAAATATTATAAAAAAAATAGTAGACAGTTTTTAAAATTTTAAAAGCATTTACTTACTACTTTTACCGGAGTAAATTAAAAGTACTTTTATGAAGCAATAAGCTTTTTTTTAACTAGTTAAACCTCTTACTTTTGGTCTCTGTGATTACCAACCTTTTGTTCTCCGAAGTGGTAAGAGGCGGTGATAGTTCAAAGGTTTTTAAAACTGAATGTTGGTTTAATTATTGCGTACTTTAGCGGTGAGTTTTTTTATATATACCACAGATAAATTTAATTACATAATTATATAGGGGTAGACATCTGTCGAGGTAGGATAGACAGTTAACTAATAACGCTCAATAAGAGTAGGTCGAGGTACCAGGCCTTGTAAAAATAATTTAAATAACCTCTTCTTTTAGCTATTTTTACTTCAATATTCCTGGATAATAATTCAGTAATACCACCTTTAGGACTCTAAACGCAGTTACTATATACTAATTGGTTAAAGCAGTGCTTTAACCTCTTTAAAAGTAAGGTAAAATTGTTCTCTTGTATACAAAACTAGATAATGTTGCGGAAAGCAAAACTTATTATTATAGTTGGAATATTTATTGAATTTGCTATCTTTTACGCGCAGGGTTCTAATGAAAAAATTGCACAAAAAGATATTAATCCTTAATCTAAAGTTTTTGGTCTTAGTGTAGCTGAGCTGAACGGTATATCTAGCATAGTGACCCTCAACTTTGGAATGCAGCAGACCCCCGAGGCAAAAGTATGTGACTTGGACCCCCTAATAAAAAATACATCTAATTAGTATTGATTAATTTATTGGTAGTTAAATACATGGTAGTAGTTTAGCGTGGCACAGGGTAAAGAGACATTACAATAGTGTTATTTACTGGTTTATACTACAATAAAAAAATTAAGAAGATTACGCTTGCAATTTATTTACTAGTTGCGAAATTCTAGGACTGATACTGGTGCTCAAAGCGACACCATGGCGTCGGTAGCTTCAAACTGACTCCTCTGTTCGTTTTTATCAAAAGTAGATTAAAAAATCCCTCTTTGAAGGAACAAGATGCCAAAACATAACAAGATGTCGCAAAGCGTTTTCTCGAAGCTTATCATATGAAATTGCTTTTTTTGCACCAGAACTTTTATAGGTTAATATCTAATTCGACCGTATCCTTGCAGTTGCTATCATTTTGCAACTGGATGACTTTTTATTGGATTTCGTAAGGAAGCTCTCCTACGTTGACAGGGGAGGGGTTTCTAATTAATTTTCGCATCGTTGCCTTCCGGAAAGTATCTTGTAAACGCCTTTTTAAATTCGTGGAGGTGATCCATGACATTTTGTTGAATTTCGGCAGTGATATGCAAGTAATTTTTGTCGTTAAGAGAATTTTTGAGCGTTGGAAACGGCAAACAGCTCGAGTGTGCAATTATTTGCGGTTAGGTTGTTTCCGAACATGACGTTTGCACAACCCTCTAGTTTCGTATTGCCTGAACCTTGTAGTTGCATATTAAGTCTGTTTACGTGTTTAAAAATGTCTACAAGTTAGCCCAACCTTTAGATAACAAAACTGCTCCCACAAATAGGTCAATCCTTTCTCAATTAAAAACACGCTTAGCTCTAACTGAAAAGTGCACGAAAGAGATCGTGCCTATCTATTATAATGAGCAGTTCTAGGACACATTGCAATCCTCGCTCCATTAAAGAGTATACAAAATAGGCGAAAGCCGCTAGATATCATATGATCTTCCCAGCGTGTCTCCTTTCGTCAGTCCACGAACCTTACTATGAAAAAAAGTAGTGTATCATGGTCGGAGTCCAAATCAGAGCACAATTTTTAAAAATACGCGTAAACGCACTGTTTTTGATTGCATCCACTAATGTTATCGAAAGTTTCATGGTGTTCGCCAACTCTTTCGAGCGGCGTTACTACGATATTCATAGCTCATGTAGAGGTCTTTCACTGACGAGCTCTGCTTGGTGGCTAACGTTTGTTTTATGGAAGTTTACTCTCGTACTTTCACAGGTTTAGATGGCAAGTGTTTTCCGCCCAATGCTTGGCTCAATGCTAACTTCAACCGCGTATATATAATATCCACTTTATAGCCCCTTTTTTAGTTATTAATGATGATTAATTCGTGGACCTCTTTTTTATTTTCACGGACCACCGGTTGGGTCCACTCTTCTAGAAAATTATCACTCTAACGTTCTACCGCTTTCACATAGTTCGGCGGTTTAGAGTAAAAGCTGCTCACTTTTTCGGTCGTTCTTGCTCCTTAAAATTTAAAAGTTCAAGCATAAAGTTGTAGTCAAGGCTTTTAATGCGACTCAACTACTAATATTCGTGATCTTAGCATGATTTATTGTTAAAATAACGGAGTGGTATTGATTATATTCTAAAAATGGCCTGCCTTTAATTAACTTCCAAAAAATTTTTTAAAAGCAACTTATGCTTGTCGTTCGTTCAGGCAACTTGCAAATAGCAAATTATTGCGCTTAGTCCACATTACCTAAGTTCCAAGTAACAACACAAATGATGGACTCGGTAGTATGGCTCAAAGAATTGTGTAAGCTTAGTTTATGGGTGCAATATAGCAGCCAGTCTAAAGGACTGTCTCGGTCTATGTAACATTCACTTTTTTTAACTCAGGAACATAAAATATGAATAAATAGGAGTGTTTTGGCAAATAAATTCTTTTATAGCAGGTGCATAAAAGTACACATAGAAGTTTAAAAATAGTAGGGTAAACTTTATTGCTCCTTACGACATTTTTTTGGAGTCCGCGAGTTAGTAGAGGGCTTTATTTTCTTTTTAGCTGGTCTTACTTCTGATTTTGGCACAACATCTAAGATTATACACACAATAAAATCAATTAAATTATAAACTATAGATAATAGGAAAGCTAGTTAAATAAAGAAGAGTTCTAGAAGTCTATGAAATTAAATTTAATAATTTAAACTCTTAAATGTTACCAACAAGGGCGACATGCTTATACCTATTAAGATATTGCCGAATCGCAGGGCATAAAACACCGTTTAAACTGAATTAGACCATTAAACGAAATTAACGGAACTGTTTATCTTTTTTTTTTAAGTAGTAGAACAAGAGTTATTTCTCTGTCAAGAATTAAATCCGTACAATAAAAAATTAAGTTTAACAAGTGTTATACAGCAAAAACATGATGCAGAAAATATATAAACTACATCGCCTAATTATAACATAGTGAACTTTAAACCATTATCATTTAAATATGATCAGTTCCAACTGGGCAATTTTAACATTTATGTTGAGACAAAATATAAAAAATCACAAGTGTTTTTTAGAGACAGGCAGTTACAGTAAAAAAGGGTGCGCTAATGAAGTCAGGACAACCATTTTAAAAACGAAAG